ATCGCGTATCGAAGACGTTCCCAGAACCTCTTCTCGTTCCACGTGAGGATCGCGGCCGCGGTTCGAAGGTACGGGCGCAGTTCGCGGTCCAGCTCCACCTCCGGATACGCGTTTTCCGCTTGGACGATGATCAATTGCGCGGTCCGGCCGCGGAGGGCTTCGTGAAGCGCGGCGCGGAACTCGAAGCGGGACCATTCGGTGAGCAGGAAGTTACGAGTGAGGACGATTAGCACGCGGCGCGACGCGTGCACCGCCTCGAGGACGACCGGTGCCGGGGTGGAAGCACGGAGTACGCAGGGTAGGTCGCGATGATGCAGACACAGCCTGAGGCCGGCCGTGCCGTGTTCGAGTTCCACGGCCAACGAATGCAACACGAAATCCTCGTCGTTGGGGCTGTAACAAACGTAACAATCGTAGAGACGTTCGCGGTCGGAGTCGCAGCAGGCGGCCATCGGAGCAGCGGACGCCATGGCCGCGGTTCCGCTCGATTTGCCGGGCTTTGCGCGCAAAAATCGTAACCCGTACTTGGAATATGCCCAGGCGCCGACCGACTCGCGGAATATGAACGCAAGCACGATGATCACGAGGAGGACGAGCACCCCCGACAACGTGGCGGCCACCAGTGGCAAGTAATCGGACACCATGATGCTTTCTATCACGCCACCCTGAGAGAAGTAATCGGAACAGACCGTCTCGTTGACGTTCAATCGCCGCCTGTAAGCCGGCCTCGCGTCACCCCCGTAATAGCACCAAACGTCGCTCGCGTCCACCACTTTGTGCGCGTTGTCCGACACCCACGAGGACAATTCTTGCAAGAACTTGCAACGGCAGGACCACGGATTACTACCGAGAGACAGCTCGACCAGGCGAGCGTTCAGGGTCACCTGCCAGACCGGAAAAGTCACCAATCGATTCCCGCTCAGCCTTAATATTTCGAGGGAACGTAACGGGAGGAAGGTCAGGTTACCGATGAATCCGATCAGATTGTTCTGGAGGTAGAGTTCGCGCAGGTGGGACAGCCGTTCGAACTCGAAGCCCTTCAACTCTCGTATCCGATTTTCCTCGAGGTGTAGGATCTGCAGATTGTTCAACCCGTTGAACGTACGATTCTGGATCGATTCTATACCGCTCCCGTTCACGTACAGCACCCGCATATTCTTCCGTCCGATGAAGACGTGGTTCTGCAACTCGCGTAACACGTTACCATCCAAGTAAACCTCGGTCGCGTCCATCGGGATCCGACGTGGTATCTCCTCGACGCCCAATCCGGAACAGTCCACTGCGTTCGTGTTCCACGTGCGATCGTTGTAGCACTTGCAACCCGCTGGACAGGTCATCTCGCAGTCGCAGGCGTCGAAATCGCAACAATGACATAGGGCGAAACAATGGGCCTCGTATCGGCAGAGAAATTGCTCGGATCTCGCCGTCGAGGCGGACACGATAGCTACGCCACGTGGTCCGGATGTGCGACACATCACATTGTCCAGGTCCATGATCCGTGGATATTCCCTGGTCGAGGTCTGATTGTTAATTCCTGGCAGCCAATCCATCGAGCAGTTGCAGTTGAAGGGATTACCACCGATGTAGAATTCTGGGAGGGGTCGGTCCTCTGCTACCTTGGTCAACAGCAACGACGTCAGTTCCATCGTTTCGATCATGTTCGCGTACATGTCCACCCTGGTCAGATTCACCTTTTCCGTAAACGTGTTAGATCGCACCAGATTGATGTAATTGTTGTTTATGAACAGCAACTCGACGCTGTTCGGCACGGACAGTGGGGACAGTTCCGTGATACGATTGTGACTAGCGTCCAATGTCTTCACCTTCGAATCGCGAATCTTGTAATAATTTCCTAAACTCTCGATGAAATTTCCGTGTATATCCAGCCATTTCAAATTTCCCGGTATGAACGCGTAGTCGAACCACTCGATGTGATTCTCCGACAGATTCAATAATAATAAACTGGCAATGCTGGTGAAAACACCGTTAATATCCGAGAGGAAGTTGCCGTCGAGCCTGATCGCCTCCAATTTCATGTTCCGTTCGAACGCGTACCTCTCAACGTGTTGAACCTTGTTCCTAGCTAAATTTAAAATCTGCAGATTCGGTAGATCCCACAGCATACCGCGCGAAAGATTCCCAATGTCGTTGCCGATCAACCGCAATCCTGTAAGTTGATCGAGATTGCGGAACGAGCCATTATAAAAATTGCTGATCCGGTTCTCGCCTAGGTCGAGAGTTTTCAGAAGAGCGAGATCGCGTAGCGCGTCGGGCACGGACGTAAGCTCGTTACCGCTCAGATCCAGTTCCTTCAGGTCGGAACAATTGCGAAACGCGAGCGGGTCGATGCTCGCGATCGTGTTGCCGGACAACGTGAGTCGATTCAGAACGAACAGACCGTTGAATAGTTGCGCTCCCACGGTGTGAAGCTTATTATCGGACAGCTCGAGGGTGTGTAGATTGTAGAGAGGCAAAAAGGCGTTACTCTCTATCCGATCGATCGAATTGTTCCTAAGATCGAGAATTTGAAGGAAGAAAAGATCTTTGAACATACGAGCGTCGATGTGCGTTAGCATGTTGTAAGACAGGTTGAGAACGATCAGTCGTATTAGCCCGAGAAACGTGGTCTCGTCCACTCGATCGCTGCCGAGCCGATTACCAGCGAGATTGAGTACCAGCAGCTGCTCCAGACGGGTGAATATACCCTTGGGCAGGTCGCGGAGCCCGTTGTACGCCAGGTGTATCTCGCGAAGATCCCTTGTACTGGCGAACAATCCTTCGGGCAACGAGTCCAGAGAATTATAACTGGCGTTAAAGGTACGCAACACGGTAAGCCCGGTGAGCGCGTCACCGGCTATTTCAACGATCGCGTTCCGTTGCAGGTGTAGCTCTTGAAGTTGGCGAAGATCGAGCAACGGACTGTTCTCCTGTAAACGCGTAATCTCATTTCGCGACAGATCTAAAATTCGAATGTCCGCGCGGCACGATGACTCACCGTTTCCGTCGGATCCGTCATCCGAGTCACGTCGATTCAATCCAATGTCGTTTATATCGCGTAAACGATTCTCTGTTAAATTCAACGTTTGTAGATTATCCAAGGAGCAAAGCGAGTTCACTGGTAACGCTTGCACATTACTCTCCACAATTTCTAACGTATGCAGTTCCCGTAGACCGAGGAAAGAATCCGGAGCGAGTTCAAGAAAACGGCTTGCACCCCATACAGAGTTAAAAGTTTGTACAGTCAGTTTCTTGAGTTCTAGAAGCGGTTGGAAAGCACCTTCGGGTATTCGCAATACTTTACAACCGTGCACGTGCAGCTCGTGCAAACTAGTCAAACGTTGCCAACTTTGTGCGTTGAAGCTGCTTTCGAAGTGATGGACGTCGCTGCACCGTATCCGTAATTTGAGAGCGCCGTCGAGTGACGCGACTAGACCAGTAATCGCGCCAGGATCTAATACTCGAAGAGTGCAGTCCGCGGAACGTGTGTCGTTACCACCCTCGGACAACCACTTGCAAGAGGTTCCTGCCGATTCCGAGAGTATCGTTAATGCAAGGCAAAGAAAAGCTGCGTTGATCAGCGTCATAAAAACATACTTCGCTGTCATCTTGCGTGACGGTGGTTGCGCGCGGCTTTTCGATTAACTTGTAGCCGAGAAATGGACGCGATCACAATCGCGACCACGACACCGTGATCAACTCTTTTCACTTTTGAAATTTAGCCAAATTATTTTCACCCTTTTTCATCCCTTTCTCGCGTTACACACTCGCACAGCGATGACACACGCACGCACATACACACGCGAGCGAGTGCGAGCGCGCGCGCGCTCATGCACCTCCTATCACGTAAGTACGGATCGGCCCATTTCTTGCCCTTTATTCGTGGGCTGGTGACGAGGCACCCTGCCCTACGTTCCTTTACTTTTCCTTCACTCGCGATCTTTTCAACTGGTCGACTATTCCTCGTTGAACTGTTCGTTCTTGATTGTCGATTAATTTTTCTTTCTTCGTCCACTTTTGTTACTTGTATGTCTTTATATGCTAATGTTTTTATATACGTACACTATCACGGCAAGTAGTACGAACCCGCTTTAACGAAACGACAGAACGAAAACAGTCCGTGCACAACTCATATACGCGAAGCGCCCGTGCGCTACCGTACACTCGCCTCGCATCAAGCACTAGCACTGATCCAGCAAACCGCTGAGCGCGCATCATCGGCATTCCCGACTGTTCCTCTTCGATTTCTCTCTCCAACGGCAGAGTGCGCCACTTTATTAGAATATCCTGCAAAGAAACCGGCACGAATAAGAACAGAATGTAAAACATAACGTTCATATGCGCCTTGGTATGTGTACTGGTTTTACTTTGCTCTCTGCTGATTGGTGCATTTTTTCTCTATCCTAATTATATGTGTTAAGTCGTTAGAAAATGCCTTAATCAATGCTAGTTCGAAATTTAAATTTGAGAACGTTATAATGAAATATAATTTTATATATATTTTAATTTTGTAAACTTCGAAATTAATAATTATTTTCAAGTTTTGTGTAGTAACTTATTTTCGAGATAAGTTATTTTGAAATATATTATTTGAATATATACTTTCATATATTTATGTATTTTAGTTCTTATATATTAAAAATATCTATATTTATAAAAATCTGTAATATTTTGATTTCAAATAAGATTTTGTATATTGCGATGTAAAAATTTATAAATACATATATAAAATGTATAAAATAAAATTATATGATTCGTATATATTTGAAAAATTTATAAAATTGATTCATACTTATTAAATTATCATAATATTGATATATATTTAAAAAATGCAAAATTACTGCATAGATGATATCAATATTTTATTTTATAATATTTATTTAATAATAGGTTAAAAAATAACATATTCAAGTTTATATACATTGTATAAACCATCTAGGGAATATGTTTAACAAGTGAAGTTATATACGTAGCGTCGCTACTGTCTTCGTATAGTTGCAATTGGTGGAAGCTGATGCTAGCGACCAGTTCAATTTCAGCAGAAGCTTACGTTGCACGCTTCTTTGTAGCAGATTTGTAACGGAGAATTTGTCTGTAAACATCTAATTTTGTTAAAAAAACATACGTGATTAAAATTGTTTTCATTTAAAAACCATAAAAATGAAATTAGTGCATATAACCTGCATTTTATTGGTTACGACAATCAACTGCATTGCGAGTAACAATGGTAAGTATTAATATTTTATGTTTGCTTTCTTAATGTCTATTAACACAATATGTGTTGCATTTCATTCGCGTGATATTCTATTCAAACTTTTGTATATCATTATTAGCTCATATTATTATTTATTTTATATACACGGAAAACATTCACGAAAAATTTAAACGGAAAATTCGTTCTCAGATGTCGGCAACTTACGTGGCGTTTAAATGTGCTAAATGTTTCGTATTTAGCTATGTAAATGAATACGCAAAGTTTATTTTCAAAATTTCTTAAAATATTGCATAAAATATTCAATTTATGAAAAGTAGCAATATGTATTATATGATTTTTTACATATTTTTAATTTTACGCAGTAGTGGCACGTTCACTTGTATCATATTACACAAGACGACAGGTCGTTGCTATGTTTTTCGATGTCTCTAGAAACGCGTTCCTAAAATCCGTTATTTCTACATGATTTAACAATTTATTTAGGCTTTTTAATTATGTTTCATTATTTTATGCGTAGAATTTTATTATTATCCACTTTATGTTTCTACTTCAGAATATTTTGTAATGTAAAATTATTAATTTTAACAAAATGTCGAAAATATTTATAGGAAATTCTTTTATATGAATTAATTTTATTTTATTTGCATGTAAATTATTAATTTTTATTATTAAAATTTTTATAAAAATTATAAATTAAATATATATATATATATATATTTTTATTAATATGAATTAATTTTTTTTTATAATATATATGCAATAATATATATATATATATATATATAAAATATTAAATTTTAAATAAATATTAATTTTATTTAATATTATTAATATTAAGAATTTAATTCTAATTTATGGAAAAAATAAAAAAATTTTAAAATTATTAATATTTTATTATTTTTTATTTTTATTATTTTTTTTTTTTATTAAATCTTATATTTGAACAGTTCTAGAAGATTTAATAGAAAGATTTAATAGTAATACATATAATTAATTCTTTATACAGCTAGTACAACAGAAGAAGAAATCAGTAAACCTACCAATCAGCAGACAATGCCTGTAGTTAATGATACTTTTCCTACTACAAATTCCTCGAATTCTACTACAGCAGTTAATACTACTACTAACAATACTACTAAGGATACTGTTGATTCTGTCACTATTGTTACAAATAATTCTACTATTACTACTACTCCTACTACTATTAGTAACAAAACTACAAATGATAATATCACTACTGTGAATCCACTAATATCTCAATCTACCTTAAAACCTACAACATCTATTGAAAATATAACTATTACCGAAAAGTCTATAAATATTATACCTACTATAAATTCATCCATCGTTTCATCAACTCCTGTAATTACTACAGTTCCAGTATCAACAAAAGTTGCACCATCTTATAAAGAACGACATTTTGATGGTCTTAGCTTTTTAGGTAAGTATTTAATATTAATATCTATTACATTATATCATATACATTAATATATAATGTATATATTAACTTTTTTTTTAAATATTTAATTGTTCATTTATATATTTAATTGTTTGAATGGAAATATTCATTTAAACATAATGATTAAGTAATCAATTATTAAATAATTAAAAAAATAATTTATTTTTGCCTTTTTCTAGGTGGCATCATTTTAGCTACAGGTTTAATGGCAATTGGTGCTCTGTCTTGGAAATTTTATAGAACATTGAATGAACAAAATTACCGTACGCTATGATATTACCAAGATTGTCATCGCGAAAATTCCATTTTTCAATAAGTAAACACAATCGTTCAAACTAAAAACTATGAATTTTACCATAATAATATTGCGTATTTTTATAACGCACTTAAGTGTCGCGTGGTTTAAGTGCTCTTAGTAATGTGATGTGCAAACGCGAATTCCGTTTCTTTGTACCCAATTACAAAGACGAATTATACGCATTTTAATATTGTCTCTTTTTCTGTCTCTTTCTCTATTTCTATCTCTATGACTGCGCATTGTAATAATGTATGCGTTTATATATAAAGAAAGAATATTACGTATAAAAAAAGGGTGGGGAGAATATAGAATTTTAAGGATGAAAGAGTAAAGAGATAAAGAGAATAGAAAATATAGTATTACAATGCGCACGCGTAACATGCATACACAAGTTGACGACCAATCAAATTTAACACATTCTATCAAAAAGATCAATTCTGCAATATAACAAGTCCACGTAATATTTTTTGCTCAAATGAAAATTATTTCGTAAAATATCTTTTCTTCGTTTTATTTATATACTTGTTTATAATTTGTTATTCGTAAAAAACAATGATTAAATTAATATAAGCACAATTGAAATGTACACAAATATAAAGGTTCCTATGTGTATATTCATAGTAAAAACAGATATCTAAAAAGATTTAAAAAAAATTAACTTTAAATAAAAGATATACGTGGTAAAGTTAGTGATGCGCTATAGCGTGGTTCATATTTTGATGTAAATTCGTATTCGTAATAATCATAGTCGACTAAATGATACTTCCTTATTTGCTGGCGAGAAATATATTTTTTACCCAAAAACGTCCTTATATGTTGTTCGTAAGCATAAATTACAGTTGCACCTGAACAAGCCTTTATTAAGTAACATTGTTGATAGGGAATTTGTGTACGATTTAAACAAGAGAGAAAAGTTTTCAGTTTCGATTTTCGTACCTGTTGAGAGAGATAATTATATTACTAACAAATATTGAAAATTTTGAATACATAAGAAAATATAATGTTAATTAATATTTTACGTAATAATCATAATCATATAATATATATTTTCATTTATATTTACATTTTTCGTTTTTTTTTTATATGATTAAAATGTATAGTATTTATTAGTTTTTGTTTATTTTTTCTCAAAGTAAATGTTTTGTTTTAAAGAGAGTAATTAAATTACCAATGTTACGATAGCTGTACCATAATTGATAACGCTGGCTCCTAAAACTCCCTCGATAATTCCGAATGTACTCTCGATATTTTTAATATCGTCAGATAAGAAATTCAAGTATTTACACACAGATCGGTGATTTTCCCACAAAAGCTCTCCTATAATATACACAATATAAATATTGAATCGAAATTTGCATATAAATGTGTAAAAAAAAAAAAGCTAAGTTGCTTTCAAAGAAATATGCGGTACCTAAATAAACTAATTTTTGAAACATACTAATCAAAGTTAAAAAGATATGACCTACTATTATATATATAAAACAAAATATATAAATATATATATATTTAAAAAAAAAGCTACAGCCTAAATAATATATTGTATCTATGTCTCATGTAATGTTTTAACAATCTATGTAAAATATACTTGCTTATATCAATTATATACTATTTGCTTATACAATTATTAATACTATATAATGGAAAACAAGTTATATAATATATCAAACCATTTGATGATATCCTACCCAGTTTTTCCCACTGTTCCTCTCGAATTGCGCAACCCATTTTTGTTATTCTTTTATCCTTATCAATCGCATCATGAATCATTTTTATCGTTTTTTCCGGAAATAAATATTTTATCATTGACATGCCAATTGGATGGGTACGCCATCGGGATTGCGTGTTCATCACTGTCATGATTTCTTCGTATTGTGTCTTAGTTATATGCCACTCCGATGATTTATTTCTTTGAATATTTAATTCTATGAGAATCAATTCGGCATCGATATTGTTCCAATTGTATTGATCAAAATAAAGAGATTGTGCATCGGTGATGAAAATTTTATCCTCTTTTGCAAGAACAGAAATCAAGACTTCGGAGATTCGGGCTTTGTAAGGAGAGTTTACCGCTAATTTTTCCGCCAAATGACACATTAACGCTTTTTCTAAAATATTTATTGTATATGTATGCGCTACTGTTTCAAGAAACATGTACAAGGCAACGATTAAGGCTGCGTTTTTCCCAAGATCATAATTTGAAGGCAAGTTGGAAACGATTACCATTTGAAAACCAGGAATGTACGCTGTTAACAATATCAATTATATTATATATTTTTTTCCTTCGTCAGAATAATTTTATTTTCAAATTTTAATTATATAGTTGCCTACATCGTTACGAATTATGTTCGTCAATTTTTCGTTTAGGGATATCAATTTGCGATATCAATTTCAATATGTCAATTTACTTCTATTGATAATCGTGAAAAATTGTAAAAAGAGAGTTCAATTATAACATGATTTAATTAGAGTAACAGTTTTTTTTTTATCGAATGTAAGAAATATAAATTATCTCTTTTTTTCGAAACTATATCTTTAAAATAATTAAAAATGAAGGAAAGAATTTTAATAGATAAAATTAAATAACATCTATGTCCTATTTTTGCATTACCTTTGTCTAATTTTATGCATTGATGCAATGACTAGATAAATAATAGAAATATGAGTAAAAGAAATTGAATATATATTATTTATCCGTAGTTCTTGATTTAATTTTGATATGTAAATATTTTATAAAGATCAAGGATCGAATTATCAAAAAAAAAAAAAAAAAATGCAGAACTATATTTAAGATACAGTAATAATATAAAATTTAATTTTTTCCTCCGAAATTTTTTTTTATATATAATCGTTCTAATCTTTTAATATTGCATGTATATTATATATAATATTATTGTATTTATTAACTAAATGACTAATTGATTTTTTTTATTTTGATAAAACTAATCTTAAATTTTAATATAACACGTTTTCTTCACAAAAATATTTGTTGAAATGTACATTTATCATTAATATTCGATAAAATAAATTTTTTCCATTATTCAAAATGAAGTTTTGTTCTTAAAAAACTTTTGATATTATTGGAAATTTTTTTGCTCGTAAATAGGAAACGTTTCATACATTCAATATGCTCGAATTGCAATTTTATTTTTATTTAATTTTACGATATCGTCTTGTGAGATCGTAAATTCCTTTGAATATAATTTTTATAATGATTCATTTAAAATACATATTCGAATATAACAAACATGTAAATTGTTTCCATTAATATCAATGCATCACATTTTAATAGAATAATTTCGAAATACATATATACGAGTACATATGCATGTATTTTTCAATGATATGAATTTCTTTAGAAAAGAAAAATGATTATCTCGTATACATAATAAAAATAGATTCTACTCTGCAAAAATTGTTTACTAATATATAGCATAAATAATGGAAAAGTCGACCGATAGTGAACGTGTTAAAACAATCTGGGACAATCTAAACGAATTGAACGGAGAGTCGAGATTGGAAAACGAACGATTAATACCTACAATACTTTTCCTTGAAAGTTCGCAACGTTCCTTTTAAATAACGTATCCACAATCTTTCTTCGGGTGCTATGTAAAGATCGTTTTCCTTCAAGCCTATTTCCACTCTTTCCACCTTAGTTTTGTCCAAGTAAGATATAATCCGACATCGTTTGTACTGATAGTATTTACCAACTATCAACGTGACAAGTTGAATGGCCTGTTTTATTTCAAGGGAAGATAAACGGAGACAAATGTGTGTGTATGTATCGTTACACGCATCTATTCCTTTTTCCAAGCGTCACGATCACGTGAGAAAAGCGCATGTTCAGCGATCGTGCAAGCTAGGAAAATCGGGACTTGCAGTGAATCGGGGCAGAAATTGCTTGAATTTGCACCTACCATTGACAATGATTTACTTTCAGCGATACCCATACACTTGCCAGCTATGGTGAGAGTTCCGGGCGCGTACACCGCACAGGTAGGCTCTAGCTTGTAAAATTCAAGAAATTTTTTTTCGGCGAATTTTTTTAATTCGTCCACACCGGGAAATATCGTGATATTTTTGGGCAAATGATTTTCACTTAAATGATGTTTCACGAATTTGTAGTAATCCTTCAAAAACTGTGTGTAGAACAATGATTTAAATGAGTTTCGAAATAATATCTCGTGGAGGACTAAAATAGCGAAATTTTTTTTCTTTTTTTTTCTTTTTTTTTTTTTTTTTTTTAAAGTCAAAAAAGTCAGAATGAAAAGTGATAAATTTTGTTTATCTGAAGTTTCAATTTTGGCGATAAAAATATGCAAATAACGTATGCAATTTTTCATTCTTTGTTTTATGAAAAATTACACATCGATAAGGAAAAATGTAAATTCGGCTTTATAGATATTTATTATCTCATTTTACATTGATATCCTAATCTAGTACAAAGTATTTTACTTAGACATTTGAGATCAGTGATCACCTGTAATATTAAATAACACAACGGGATTAAATCAAATTATAATTAAATAAACGAAAACGTTTAATTCGTTAAATAATTTGTCCAAAAGTGAAATTTCATATAAAGAAAATTTATTCCACCTTGATAACTTATTATTATTATTACACGAGAAATTATTCTTTCTTGCATATTTATTATGCATACGAATATATCTACATATATATTTACATATATATGAATATAATTGCGTAAATTTAGGAAAATTTCGAAAATATAATTTCTCTCGTCGGCAACATCTATTTTATTGCATTTTTAAAAATTTTCATTCTTGCAAATTGAGAGAGAGAGAGAGAGAGAGAGAGAGAGAGAGAGAGATGTAAAATACTGCTATTACAAAAAACGTATTTCAATCGTGCCGAATTCACGAGTTCGAAAATTTCCAAACGTATTCAAAACGCAATTGTGCAACATCATACATCGTCCACGACCGATTTAAACGGACGCGTGTGTTATTTTAACTAACATTCGTTCCCAAACATACGCGATACGCGATCACACGGGGCCGAAGTGGAACAGCGGTGCAAAACGGAAGTTTTTATCCTGATTTTTCTATCCCGAACAATGGGAGCTCTTACTTTATTGTTCGATAAATTGGCTGGCGTGGAAGCGGCACACGCCGTATAGATATTACGTGATTTATCGTTCATCCTGGAAAAAAATTCATCTAACCGGAAACTCGCCTCGGCCTACGGATCGGCATATTTCTGATATTTGACATTTCTCTCCCCCCTCCTCTCCCTCTCGTTTCTTGTTTTTCTTTCGTTTCAAGCGTCATCGAGTTTCGTCGGGGAAACGAAATCCCGCACGTTCACGTTCTCTCTTCTCGAAGCTAGGGAAAAAAAAAAATCAATCTTGCCTCGTAATCGTACCGATTGCATTTCCCTCCGCATTTCATTCCTATTTTTCCTTCCCCGATTATGTAAATGACGTCAAACGTGTTACGTACGCGAAGGCGTGAGATACAAACGTGAGACAGCGAGATAAATCGGGAAAAGGAAATGAATCATTTTTCACACGAAGCGAAAATCAACGTTCGAAAAATATCGCGTTTTTTCCATCCCGAGAATGTTAAACAGAATTTAAATTTCTTCACGCGTTCATTATTTTTCTCTTTTTCCATCGGATATACGTGTAATAATTGATGTTGCGTTATGTGTCTGGATTTTTGTGAAACAAAATAGCACGTTTATGTTTGTACGTGTTATAATTTCGGAATTGAATTTGTTATGGTACGTAAATTAGAATATGGAAATTTTATATTATATTTGAATTTGATAAAATTTATTTTAGGGGAAAGAGGCGAGTGAAATATTGGTTTATAAATAATTGCACAAAGGAAACCAAGTTTTTAAAAAACTTCGTATCGATGTAAATGCAACGATTCAATTATCAGTACTTATTATTATTATTATTGCGTCACTATCTTAATTATTGTTTCAAAATATATTTCATCGAACAACGAACGGTATTAACATTAATAAATTAAATTTAAAATATTTCTATAAATAGAAAAGCAATTCACAATCTTTTAATACAATTAAATCAATAACATCTAATAATAAGGAAAATTGTAAATGCGAATTTTACAAATTTCAAGCCAGCTCAATATTATTCCATTCGTTTGTGCAATAGAAATTTATTTGTATCAATTTGTTAATATCAATATATCCAATAATTCAAGTTAACGCTTTTATTTATTTCGTATTGAAAACGATACAAAGAATTTCTTCTTTCTTTGCATTCCATCCGTATAAACCGATACATACATCTTGACAAGCGTTGGAGATTAAAATGTTTTCTTTATAAACGCGAAAAAAAAATTCATATCGTAAAAATTAAATGTCCGGATAAAATCATCAACTCTTTGCTTTTTCTGATAATTCCACGAACGAGCAAATGACATTTTCCAGAGAGATGCAAAACGGGTCACGATTTAGCGTAGCAGCGATTATTTTTTTTTTTTTTTTTTTCCCTCCCCTTTTTCCTTTAAGTATAAATCGCTGATTGGACACAAGATTGGAAACGTAAAACAGCTCGAAGCTAATATCCCTTTAACGCTTATATCGGCTACGATATAACGGAAATTAACGGGGATATCAATGTGAAACAACCATACGCGGCATATGGTTATCCGTGGCAGCACGATAATGAGCTATACGTCACGAATGTTCACGTAATTATCACAGCATGGAACTTGAAACTTTTCAGTGATACGAGAATTATGTAAACTCTATTGAAATTAATCTTATAATATGAGTTCTGCTATATAAATCTAGATCGAAATGCGTAAACAATGTTTGAATGTTTTTCATAAAGCTTTTTATACAAAGAGATAAAGAACAGATAAAGTGTTTTCCGCGAAATTAGATCGATAGAATTGAAATTTTTATGAATGATTCGAAGAGGCTAATATTTAAAATCATAAAATATTATAAAGATGAGTTTCATAAGGATGAGAGTTTCAAAAGATATATATTTTTTTTCTGCAATTCCTGAAAATCATAAAATAAATATGTTAAAAGGTTAGCATGTTATTTTTCCTAATTAAAACTAAAATGTAATAAAACATATTTCTATATTATCTAAAAATATATGTATATATAAGCCTATTAGTTTAATCGAATATAATTAAATATTTTTTAAAGCAATAATTTTTTGCTCTAAATGGTTTCATATACTTTTTCCAATTGTAGAATATAATTTTGAAAACAATTTTCTATCGTTATAACGAAAAATATCGTTGCACGCGCAACAAGAAAAGAGTCATGTTCGAAAGTTAGAGAGAAAATATTCGATCCACGGTTAGAACGAATTCCGGTAGCTGAATTCCAGGGACCACGGTCGGAGAGCGTGGATCGTTTTGGCAGAAAAGAGGCGCAGACGTGAGTCCAACTCTCGACAGGGGCGGAGTCCCTGCCCTTTGTCAATAAGAGAGCATGCTCCCTCATATCCCTCTATTTCGTCTCTCTTCACCCCACACTGGAACGCGTAGCTCGCAACTTCTCTTCTACCACCCTTCATCCACATCTACGTCCATCTCCCCGTCCTCTCTTCTCGATCTTCCCCTTCTTTACTCTCCCTATAATCAGCCTCTCTCATCCTCCATTACTTTTCTCCCTCGCATCTTTTCCTCCGCGTTTCAATCGCGTTCCTCCATTCCTCCTCCTCCATTCCTCCCTCCATCTACCTCTTCCACGAATCTCCTCTCCGTTTCCATCTACCCGTTCATCATCCACCCTGGCGCCTCCATCTTCCCTCCTCCTTCGTAGTTTCGTTCCAGGGGACGAACTATTTTTTCGCGGTACGCCTCTCCAAATATACCCCGCACGACACACATCGAACGAGCCGGCCCCAGAGCACAGACGCCGCGACGCCGTCGTCGCCGCCGCCGCCGCTGCTGCCGTCCTCGTCGTCGTTGCTGCTGCCGTTGTTGTTGTTGTTGTTGTTGTTGTTCTAGCGCCAGATCGCGAGCAGAGCGGGCGAGTGAAAAAGAGTGCGAACGAACGGGCGAGAATTTCGAAGCGAGAATATGCGTCCAAGGCGAATCCTGATGAACGTATCATCGATCGATGGTTGCTGAACCAGACCGCCACGGTGTGCTCGGTCCACGCGTGTACGCGCAAAGAGGAGACGCGCCGCTGCCTGCGAGCCGCGCTACTCTGTTGCTCCCGTGCCTCGGGAATATCCGCGATTGCCCAGAGCTGACGCGGCCGCGAGACGACGGATCTTCCACGGGGGATAATCGTTCTCGACACTTTCCGCGACGAGTATACTTGAAGAGAGGAAGAGAGAAATAGATATATATATATATATATATATATATATATAGAGAGAGAGAGAGAGAGAGAGAGAGTGAGCAAGATCCGCGAAGAGGAGAGATGGCGGGATAAAGGGAGAGAATATTGGAGAGAAGGACAGGGGAAGAGGGAGAGAGAAAGAGAGGTGACTTTTATCGATTGTCGTCGTGGGACGAGATACGAGAGAGAGAGACGTGGTGGATTCGAGAGTGCGGGGATCTTGCGTTGCGACAGAATCAATTCCGTGCGGTCCAACAACGCGTGTTGCCCACCAAGCCGTTGTGTTTCCCATCAGGATCAATCCGGGATGGGTACAGTGTCGCTACCCACTTACGAGACCCGTCCTCCTCCCAGCTGATGGTGTTTTCGGTGAGCGTGCATCGCGAGAGAGAGCGGAAAAGGGTGGTTCGCTGTTGGGGTGACAGATGCGAGAGGTCGCCGCGGAGAAAGTATGTGATCGGTTGATGGAACGTGGTTATTAAAACGTGTGATCCCTTGTTTGTGTATGTGTGTGGGTATATATGTGCGTATGTGTGTGCGCGTGTATACACGGAACAGGACTCGCTTCGGAAGCTGATTGGCCTGGAAGTTGCTTGTCCCAATGTAAGTGATCTCTTCATCCTCGCGCACAAAGAACCGAATTTTCTCGCGATGAGATAAATATTGCATTTCTGTAAACACGGGTGTTTTGCACGATTTAATCGGTCCAATTAAATGCGATTGGATTCTTTGCGAATGGGTATAGATATAGAATTAGAGAGGGATTAGAGAGGGGTGTTTTTAAAAAAAAAAAAATTACACGAAACCGTTGCGAAAAGTATATATCTGCTCCCATACTGATACTAAAACCCGGTTGAACTTTCGAACGTAACTGTTCTAACATTCCTCCGCTTGACATTTATCAACCGTAACAGTGTGTTCGAGTGTTTGAAATGGAGGAGAAAGGCGCTACGTTATGGTATGCGTTTAAACTATTCAGGGCGAAATGGAAGAAACGGTTTGATACCGTTCCGTGATTTATCAAAATTCGATACCTCGTACACGGTGCCAAATCGCGTTTCGACCTATTTCCGTGACCGAAAGGACAGGGATAATTTTTATCGTCTATTTTTTTGAGGGACGAAAAAAAATAATTATTTTTTAAAAACAATTCGATTCGATCAATACGATTCGCGATATTATCTTTCTTTAAGGTGATCTATTTTTAATAAATAATTTCTTTTCACAATTAATTCGCAATATATCTGTTTGAAAATTTGAATTTTCCTCGTTTCGATAATTTTTGATTAGATTTTGTATTATCTTTAAATAATTTTTATAATTTATAGGGATACTATAAGAAATAGTTAATATTTCTCGTTTAAAGCAAACGATTACAATTTTTTTTTTAATCATGAAGATTATTTTGTTGCGACGAAGGTAAAGAAAGATATATATAACGAGTATAATAGAACTTTGTTATCGAATAGATCATTGATCGCTATACTTATCGCGCAATTAGCAACTACAGCTATGTCATAGTTATGCAATGCAATTCGCGAGGCAATAAGAACAATCAATCTTTAATTTATTCACGTTAAATAACGTGATAACTCGTTCTTCGTAGTCTTAATATAAATATTTGTTCTCATTACGCAGTTAAATTACATTGTAAATATTAACAACTATATTCTTGTGAATATTTTATCATTCATAAGTTTAAAGAAATATTTCATTATTTCTTTGACGTATTTTTCCTAATTTTTTTTATATCCAATCCAATAATATTTCTCGTTATACCGCCATTTTAACTTAATGCAAATAGAAATGCAAATTCAATTTAGATAAAACGATAAAATCGTCTACCATTCACACGAAAAACACAAGACTTGACATATTTCCTTTTTAGAATAATATTCGAGGCAATTTGACGGGAAGTTTCTTCGTGACTTTAATCATGGATTACACGATTGTTGGAAGAGCGTAGTTTCAAGAGTCCATAATCTTTCGATGAGGCATAATGATTGCGTGCGATGCACGATGGAATTTCTTACGACTAGCTCAGCTAAATGACATTAAAATGATAATTACTTCGTTCCTTTTTAAGTTAATAAACTATTTTACGTTTTTTTTTTATTATAATTAATCCTTTGTAGAAAAAAATGAATTGCCAATGATTTAAAATTTTATGAAATTTTACTTTATTCATTATTTCCTCAAACGTAACGTAAAGAAAAATAGGTTTGATAACGTAATAACGATAACATAATATTTTATAGAATTTTTACAAATTTGTCGAAAATTTAGAAAACAAAATTAGGTTTGGATGTCAAAGATTTTGTTTTGTCAAAGAATGCAAAAATATATTTATCTATGTAAAATTAAATGTGTTAATTTATGTTAAATTTATGTTAATTGAATTGTATGTTTATTTAACATATCATATAATTATAATTACATATTAACAATTAACATATCAAAGAGCAAGATATTTCCTTAAATTTTAATTCATATTTTTTGGATTATAACACGATTATAATAATTCAAGTTAGATATATGTTAAATTGAATTTTTTAAATTAACTTTTTATTTCTTTATTAATTATCCAAGCGACTAATGAGATTATAAATAATGCGAGAAAAAGAAAAAATCACCATATTGATTATTTATTTTAAGAAATGATAAAATATAAATTAGAGTAAAGAGTCTAAAATTAAATAACTTATAGATCTATCGACCTATAATATGTACATACCTTTAAATATATTAAAATTAAAACGATACTATGAATATAATTAGATACGCGTAATCAGTATTAATTTTTCATATTTTTTAGTAATTGCAAGACAACAAAAAACTTTTAATCGGTTTGGCAGCTCTAACGATAATTTAAATTATTACGTGATTATTTTTTATGTTTTTTTGCTATTTTAATCTACAATTTCATTCGCTAAGATACGTATACTTTGCCAGAACGCAGTTGTACATTTAACCTTTTGACAGTGTAATAAAATTATAAAGATACAGACTAATACTTATTTTTATTTTTTCACTATCAACATTTTTTCCACCTTTGACATCAAACACGGAAAACACATATTTTAATTTCTTATTAAACGATTGTAATAGCATAATAGGAATAAATAAGTATAATTATATATTTATTCGACAAATATTAATTCGTCGAATATATACTTGTATACTTTCAATAATTGCAAAAATAAAAGATTTGCAATCTATCATTTTGATGGTTAGTAACTGCTCTATGTATGATAAAATTTTACAAGTTATAAACTTAACAGCTCAGCTGAATCCTTTTCGAGATAAATTGTGGAACGGTTAATCGACAGACGTGGCTGTTTGAAAATAGGAGCACATCGATATATATATGTGTGTGTGCATCAAATTCGATAGCCAACGATCGATTTAATCGAAGAATCGAGAAGTAACTCTTTTATATTTAATATTTCGACAAGAGAATTTTTAGATTTGAGAATTTTAGTTGAATTTTAGTTGAAGCAAGAGGCTTTCTTCTTCCTATTCAATCAATTTCTATCGATTAAGAAGGCAAGAGATCGCACAACAATCGTGTAAGATTAAATCTCTTTTCGTAAGAAAATATTTATATTCCCTAACCATTTTTTAACGCGTCCTCGCAAATGAGAAATTGCCAACAATTGATTGTAATGAGAGATTAATTGAAATTTCATGGTATTTTTATTACATTTTCTATAATGAGATCAGATAATAAATCAAATTCCAGCGTGAACAATTACTTGTAGGTCTCCGACTAGATTAATTAGATAATCGCAGATCATAGTTTGAAAATATTACTTTAATATCCTCGAAAATTATTTTTAGAGCATAATTCTCGAGAATAAAATTTTTTAAATTAATAATTAATAATTTCTCGATGATTTTTGCTTTATGAATCATCGATATGAAATATTATCGCATTCCAAAACTGCAATCGAAAATTGTTTTCTCGAGAATTATTTTGGAGAGTAAAAATCACGGATTAGTTATTTTTTATTATCCGTGAAAAATAGAATTTCTTGATCTTTTTCTGAAATTCATTTTAAGATATTCATAAGATATTCATCCTAAAAACGATCGATGTAAGTTTACGGCGTGATCTTTCAATTTTTTTTTAACCTCTCCGTGTTTCATCGGCGTTTCGTTGCCTTCTTCGACTTCTCGCGTGTTAATTGCGAGCACACAGGTACGCATGTACTTCTTTTGTTGAAAATTTAGAACGTGATAATGTAATGTCAATATTGAACGCACGCGAGAATGTAAAATGAATATAGAAAAGAAAAATAGTAGGAGGATATAAATCGAAGGAAAGTGCATGCCTGTGTAATCGGTGGAAGAGATATAGCAAGCTCGTAAATTACGTTATCTTGAAACATGACGAAACGTGCATGAAAAATTTCAAGACTCTCGATCTACAATTATCTAGTAATTTATTAACCTAAAAAATCGTTTTATGTAGAAAGAATTTTATATGTAGAACCTGCTTTACAAATTATGCACTTTTGTACATAATTATAAAAGGGAAAATTAATTAAAAGTTTTCAATCCCATCAATGAGGATCGAATTTTTTTAATTAATCCCATTTTAAATTATTCCTTTCTTGGCCTTTCGAAAACGAAGATTTTCATTCGTATAATAAAAACTTGATTATTTTACCATTTTTCTTCTATGATCCTGAATCATTATAAAATTACAATCAAAGAAGTTTCGCCCCCTGAAAATAATATTCCGTTAAAAGAAAAGTTGCTCTACGTATATATAATCCATTATACATACTCGCACAAACTTCCATTAAATGTACTTATGGTCTTATCTTTGCTTCCTCCTCGCTCGACGATTTTCTTCTCTTCCATCGACGAGAAACGCACAGGATAGAGAATACATGGGAAAGAGAAGCGGAAATAAGAGTAACGAGTATCGTCCAAATTGCGTCGAATTGAGTCGAGGGAGCACTTAATTCTCACTTGTAAAACGATCGCTTGAATATTCCGGAAAAGAGCGAGATAGGTTTATCGGGGAGGAAAAGGAAGGGAAGTACCGAGACGGAGGGGTTGAAGGGAATCGGATGGAGGGAGTGAGGAGAGGATGGATAACAGGATAGAGAGAAAAATAAAACGTTCGTTGGATTGCCTTTAACGACGAGAGAAGAGATTATCCAGTTGAGAGCGTTTGGTTGGTTGATCCAACAACAGCTAGTTACCATTCGACATTCGCGAGCGTCGTCCTATCTTCGCTTCTCTGTCTCTTTATCTTCGCGTTTGTGTACACGTCGAAAAAATTGATCGAGCACGTATATTTCGATTTGGCACAGGTGGCAAGGATCGAAGGGGGAATCGCGATTGGCCGACGAATGATCGAAACGCGACAGAATTGTTATTGTCGACCCTGGATTGAGGGATTGAAAGGAGGTGATCGACGATCGAGGATACCTAAGGGCTGCTAATGCTACGGATGAACGGATGAACTGTTGGAAACTATGCTGGCATATTGTACGACATCGCATTGGATCGAAGGTAGGAGTGACAACTTGTTGGCCTGACATTTTTTTCGATGCCCATTTTTTTTTTAAACAATTAGGGCAATTAATAGCTATCGTGTGTCGTGTGTTGTCTACGATTCGCGATAATGCGGTAAGAATATATTATGGAAATTTTTCACGAGGCAATAAGAAATTATCACGCCGGATATTTATAGAGTTTTATTTTCGCTATTTGGGAAATTTTAATTTTTATCTAAGTAACAGAAAATTAATGATTAATTTCGAAATTAATACAAGTATTCATTGGATATCAAACGGTTAAAGATTTTAATTCTAATTGAATTTCTTTTTTCTTTTAATTATAAAAATGATTTTAATGCTATACATAATAATGATATTTCATTTATAATTTAATAGAAAAGTCATTTAAAAATGATTTATAATTTATGATAAAATGAAAATAAAATACTCGTGATTGCAGTTGTCGAAAACTCTTTCAAAGATAAACAAATATGAAACTATTTTAAATTTATTTTAAATTTATATTATTTTATTACAAATGAAATATCATATTAAGTACTTGATATAGCATTTTCCTATTATTGTAATATTTGCGAATGCTGATAAAATACGGCATTGTTATTACAGAGTGACACGAACAATGTACTTACTTGCAATTGTTAGATACACTATCGATTCACATGATACGTTACGCATTATTAATATCCCGTTATACTGCACGTAGTATGACTGAATATAGAGTGTTGTTAAGCTTTCAAACCGAGAGTGACTGAAAGATCGATAGAAATACTATCTTGAATAATTTCTTCACCGTGTCTATCGATATAGAGCTAGAAGCTTTCTGGCATCTTATCAATCTTTATTCCTTCTCGATTTTTCTGTCGTCAATTCATAACAGGAATTTTCTTTTACGAGAGATTCTCGTGAAATTCAATTTTGCGATATATATATACAGAAATTTTTATTTTTTTTTTAAATATATTTCAATATCAAAAAATTTTAGCAAAGATAATAATAATGTTTTCCTCTATTTCTGTTATAATTCTGTTTCTGATTTACTTGCAAAATAATTTACAATTTTTAATTACCGTTTCAAGAAAGTCGAAAGAGTAAAAAATATAAATAAACAAAAATTAAATAAATTTCCTTTCTGATTTTCCTTATTTCAAAATGCACAGAAAAGAGATTAGGGAAATTTACAAGACGATTATCCAGATATATAATATGAATAAAAAATAAATAGAGTATATGTATTTGTCAAATATTGAATTCGAAAAAAAATCCCATTGTTTGGTATAATCTATTATTACCCACATTATATTTTTCTAAATATTCCATTATTGGAGCTAAAGCAATTTTGAAAATGGAGCTAGAAACAATCTGTAAAACGTGGCAAAAATAGTGCACGATCGAAATGTTCGTGCACTCTCCTGGGCCATTGTACAGGGCTACATTTAAGCAAACAAGAGATTTGTGAAAAGGGGACGAAGGGAATTAGTGGATGCGTTTTCAGCAATTCGCCTCGCTGAATTGGCCAAAAGTTTGCTAGTGTTAGTTGGATTTTCGATCGATGTTTGCGAGCTGACAATAGCCATATCCCTGTTGGCTGTGCTTTTCATTTAACGAGAAAGAATTGAACGAATTCACCGTTAAATCACCAGCTATTTTTTTTTTCTAGTTAACAAGAAAATATTCTTGACGTATACACTAAATTAAACGTTGATATGAAAAAGAACTTTTTGGTGGATTATATTTTTATGTTGTCGAAATATAAGAATAATTGTTTTTTTACTTCTTTAATTATTTCTTTTTAACGGAGGGAAAATTGGAAATTTAAAAATTATTTGATAATTTTTTTAAAATTCAATTGCTAAGAATTCGTTATGTTTACTTTAATTTTGTATATAAATATATTTCAATTAGAAATATAAAATAATAATAATATAATAATAGATCATAGAAAAAAGAATTATATAATTCTATATAAAAAAAAATTTAATATAACCTTGAGTTCAATCATGAAAAGAAAAATAGAATTTTATTGAATATAAGTGATATGATAATGTATTTAGCACAGAAACGTAACGAGATTCAATAGGCACATCGAAGTCTAAATCGTTTTATAAATTGATTTAAAACTAAAAGTATAATTGAACCAATATGTATAATTGAAAAAAAAATTATAAAAAAACTTTTGATGTCATTGTTAATCTACAAAATATAAGCAATACAAGTATTTTATAAATAATTTTATATGAAATTTTTAATAGAAAAAAAAAAATTATAAATTCATTCGTATTGGTATTCATTAAAATTTGTAGAAATCAACATTAAAAAAAATTAGTATCATATTTAAATTCCTGATGTAATTATATCGTTTCTTGAACAATATATATATTTTAACTCTTCTATTTTAAAATTAGAGAGACAATAATAGAAAAAAATAATAGAATAAAATATACGTATTCTACGAACACGAATGAAAATGACATTCGAATAAATTTCTCTATTGGTATCACCATTACTAGGGATGTCTTCGTTATTACCGGCATACCGGAAATTATGAAATATCGGCGAATCAGTTATTCCATTTCCGCCAATCACTGCTTCGTTTCAACAGTTCGTTCCCTTGTTTTCACAAGTAATTTTCTTTGCTTTACCTATACCCTTAACAACGATATAGCATTAAAAATTACTTTTATATGTTAACTCACATACAATGTTTTCATATTCTTCAATTTCTATATTACTTACGTATACACACTCTTATTCTTCGATTCGCTTAACATAAGCGAATCTTTTTCTTTGATTTTATAAAGCTAAGGAAATATATTTTTAATTAATAAAAAGAATTCTATACTATACTTTTTTCTTATAATTTCCTCAAAATTGTTACAAATTGATCCTCCTTTCAATGCAAGCTGTTCAATTTAAAAAAAATCATAAAAATATTAATCTCCAATTTTTTCATCTATCGAAAGGCTTCCAGCAAACGCGAAACGGCAAAAGTTTGAACTGCAATTGTAAAAGTAATCATAGAGATTGCTGGAAATCTCTTTGCTCGATGTTCAAAGGTTTCGAATGCAACTCAATTGCTCGATCACGCATGTATCTAATAATAAAGAAATACAGCCAGGTCTGGTTCATACGATTGCATCCGAGAACTAGATGTTCAAAATGGCGCCCGGTCATTGTTATTACCACGTAAATAAACGAACTGAAAAATTAAAAACGGAGTTAGAAAAAAAAATAAGAAGAGAAGAATCGAAAACGCGTGTGTAAAAATTGCGTTGTTTTACCTTTTCAGGATATATCGAGCGGTTACACGAGGAAAGCGCGGAGTAATGATCAGTGATACGCGGTCCGAGGTGTTGACCGCGAATTTCAAACAGGCGAGTCGCACCGTGTATGACTGGCGGCGTAAATTCGCCTTAAGCGGTAACCTATTGTTGAGAATTTTTCTTGGCCTTTGTTATATCACGGGTACAAATTGCGATTGGAAAGAGAGAATGTCGCGTGGGACCAACAACAACATGCAGATCACGAACCGATTGTCTCAGCTCGGTTATTGCGATCTGGAAGAGACCTGCGATTGGTCGTGGAATCAATTGGACAGTTTCAAGAAAACCAGCCCATCCTTGCGAAATAAATTGGGGCCTAACGTGGATGCCAGTAATTCTACAGAGGGTAAGATGTGTGAGATACGTGATTAATTACTTCTCTCTCACAAATTAATTAGAATTTTAAATCTTAAAAGTCTACGTGGACATTCAGTTGAGGATACTGAGATATACTGAGATTTTTTTTTAAATTTATTTACTCTAGATATATCCAAAAGTAGGGAATCAAGATCAGTTTTAAATAAATAATTTTCGATTTAACCAATATTTATGGCAATTTAAGATAGAAGAGAAAAAATCTTTGGAGAAAATGTGGCGAAATATCTAAGATATTAATTTCGATTTCCACTAGGACATTTCTTATGGTTTACTGGCTACGGGAAACCTCAAATGTGGTCCGGTAAAATCCCTCCAACTGGATCACGTTGCATATTAGAATTAGCTCTATACCAAGTTGAAATGAGTAATGGTATTATCAAGTTACTCATAATTACAAACAATACAAGTTGGATTGCCGCGGAGAAGCAAGGAAATAATCATACAAAGTACGTAATTTTTTCAATGATAAATTGCTTAGTTGTTATTATAATAATAATTAAAAATATTTTTTGATAAAAATTGGAATTTATCTGTTAAATTACAGATGGGAGATAATGCGTTTTACAATAGGTACTATCACTCAATCACATTCGTTACTTATAGAGATGTTAGTACCCTATTCTAATTCTAGCATCGCTATTGATAATGTTCGCCTAATCGAATGTTTTCCGGGTAATTATGAATTATTAAAAATTCTTATATTGCAACAAATTATTATTGATTTTTCTTATATGTGAGCCATACTGAAAATTTAAAAATATAATTAAATATTTTCCAAAATATTAATTTTATTGCATTTAATCTTTAAATTTTATTACATTTATTTATTTGATAAAATTAATTGTAAGAAGCTTTTTTTATTTTCAAATAAATTCGCAGATAAAAAGATATTCTAATATGAAATTTTACAATATTTTTCAGTATGTCCCACGTATATAAATTTTTTAAACATTTTTTAAACAATAGTACATCATTACACACGTTCTATTATTACTGCTTTAATTATTAAATTATAACTACAATGCTTACGATATTACACATTTTCTATACACAACGAAATAAAATTATAATTTTTCGTTTAAACGAATTCAATATCCCTTTCTTATAACTCTACATCAAAATATAATCACGCTATACAATTATAACAAGTTAGAATTATACCACCGCATTCACCACGCGCATAAATATAATACCACTGGTGGTCAAAGAAAATAAAAGCAACGGTCACAATTGAAAGGAAAATACGAGAAATTTCTAGGTATCTAGAAAGTTTGACGCGGCATAATCTAAACAAGTGAAAAGACTGAACAAACACTGCCTTGCTTATATACGTAAGAAAAGAGAAACAAATGCATCGTTATTTGCAGAATCAACAGCGGTGGAGATAAAGAACTGCACGAAAGACATGTACCGCTGTAAGAATGGCTCGTGTTTAAACAGAACACGTGTCTGTGACCTAACAAAAGACTGTGCCGAGGGTGAAGACGAGGAGGACGACTGCGGTAATTGTCAAATTATTATACCTCCACTTTCTTCCTCCGCGGTCAGTTCAGTTCGTCATTGTGCCGTGGACATGACAGATCGTAATCGAGAAGGGTGTTTCAGACAAAATACCGGAGAACGCGAGATGCAATTTCGAGCATGGATGGTGTGGATGGAAAAACGTACCGGGAAGACCTTTAAACTGGACCCTCCATCATGGCGCAACACCGTCCGAGAAAACTGGACCTAGTTACGATCATACATACCGCAATGCGTCCGGTTCGTATATAGTTATGTATATGTACGTACATATTATGCCTTCGTGTGCACGTTTCAATGAAACTTCCATTTTCGCTCGGTTTTAAATACATTTGTCTGGATTTATTGTAGCGCGTTTAACTCTTTTATCCCGAATGTGCAATATATCTGAAAATATGTGAAAGATATGTATTTATAACGTAGAGAAGGAGAGGACAAAATTATTTGAAATTATAAGAATATACTATCTTTTTATGAAAAAGTGTCATTTTCTTTCTTTCTTTCTTTTTTTTTTTATTACTTTCCATTGATTAATTTTGAATTAATTGCATTGCATATTGTTATTGATAACAGTTTTATATTCTATTACTATTATACTTGAATTCTTTTGAATATGCAATATTAATATCTAAAATAAAATAAAATAAAATAGCTATTTATATTTTAAAAAAAATATAGAATAAAAGAATAAAATAAAAGAACAGAAAATATTATGAGAATATGATATCCTTTTGTAATTAAAATAGTACCATAAAAATAGTACTTTTATTGCCTTCTTTTATTGATGTACTATAAATATTTAAAGAAATATCTGAAAGCTAAATTTAACGTTATAAAAAAACAAAATAAATGAATAAAAACTATTTACCATGAATGTAATATTCCTTTGTATATAAATATTTTTTTTTTATTAAAGATCTTTAAAAATAGTTTCATCTGAATAAATATGAAATCTCATTAAATATTCATATCAAGGTATTTAATATATACCACATAAAATTCCATATATGTATTACATTTTTCTTCTTATTAAGATAAAAATTTCATTCATTTCAAATTATCATACAATATTTAAGATTTAATATTAGATTAAAAAATTGTATTTTATTCCTAAAATTTTAAATATTATTAATATTTAAGGATAAAAATTATATTAATTTTTTTTCTTCTTACAATAATAATTTCCAAAGATAGTAGAAAGTACAAGTATTTAAATTTAAGTATTTAGAAATTCACTTATCTTCATTAAAAATATTTCTGATACTTTAAAATTTCAATCATTTTAATTATTTAATTTTAATTTTCCATTTCAGGGACATACGCATATGTAAGTATGTCACCAAAAGTAGAATATGGTAGCCATGGTACTATTGAAAGTCCATTGTACAATCCTACACCACCTTATAATGGTGATCCACAAAGTCCTTATCATAAGTCGTGTCAAGTAAGTTGCCTCAAAATTAATTATAGAATTATTATATTACTAATGGAACATAATATATTAATATGTACATACTTATATAGGTACGGTTTTTTTATCATCAATATGGTGCAAACAGCGGTTCGCTTGGATTATATTTAGTTCAAGAAAAACCACATCAACCCCATTACGAAAGATTATGGTGGTCTTATCTTAGTGGTGATAGAAGTGACGTTTGGTACAATCAAGCTGTTTCTTTACCTGATATCAAATACAGGTGATTCAATTTAACACATTAAATCATTTAATGTAAATATTAAAAATTAAAATTGTTATTAAGTTAAAAAATTATTTACTTTATCTATTAAAGATATCTCAAATCTAATTTCTTGTAAATTTTTATAAAATTTTACATGTGTATAATTTGTTCATAGATATTTTCTTCAATTTGAGGCAAGCAGAGGATATTATTCAAAAGCTGATGTAGCGATTGATGATTTTTCCTTGAGTCCAGAATGTTTTGGCATTGGTAAATTTTCAAATTTCTTGATTTCTCAAAATTAATAATCAAAAGTATTTTAATAAAATAATTATGTATCATTTTTCATTAGGAGTTCCTCCTGAAGTCGTGGGAGATTTCAATTATTCTAATCCCGTCATTGATTCGGAAAAAATCCCTCGTCAACACACAGACTTTGTTAACGAAACTGGTACCATACATCTTCTAAAAAAATTATAACAATAATAAATCACCGTTTAATTTGGATACTGCTTGCATATGCAATAATATGCATCTCATCAGTGCATAACTCTTTATATTTCCAGTTATACATATTACCACATGTGGAAATACAGGAAGAACAGGTCCCAATTCTGAGCAATGTAACGAAGAATACAATAGAACAGACATAGAATTAGTTACACTTTCACCAAAAGAAGATTCCCTTTCTTTCAATTTAAGTGGTATTCAACGATGGATAGCACCTCGTGGTGGATATTATACGTAAGAATTTATTATACTTTTTTCTATTTGTTATTTATAATATTAACATTAAGACAATTAATATATATTTTAAATGTAGTTTAATTGGAATGGGCGCCCGTGGAGGAAAAGGTTCTAGCGGTATGGGAACCACATTGGGTGCACTTGTCCGTGGTGTAATCGAATTAGAAAAGGGTGATCAACTGTATTTCATGGTGGGGCAAGCAGGAATGGATGCGTGTCCTAAAGTAAGAATTGTATATGTTAATATAGAAGCGATATAAAATGTTAATTTGATTAATATTATTTACTTCTAGAGATGAATTGTATTTGATACTACCTAAATTTTAATAATATTATAATATTCTTTTTCTCACTTTTTTCTTTCTCTTCTAAAAAATTTCAAAATGAAACTTTTTTGAGTTTCAAACAGTTTTGAGATTTCAAGTAATTCATCCTTTTCATTTCAAAAATTTTTCAAAGTTTCTCTTGTATATCTTTCATTTTCAGAACTTGGGACAAAAATTAAATAGTTGTCAAGGCTCTACATCATATGGGTCTTCCTTAGGAACTTCCAAAGTAGATGAAGTAAGAAAGATTAAGATAAAAGATGGTGGAGGTGGTGGTGGTGGTGCAACGTATATTTTTCAGGTAAGCAAAATCGTTAATGCTAAAATATAAAATATTAATGATTAATTATCATTCTTTATATATTACAGTTAAAAAGCAATGGAGAACAACATCCCATACTTATCGCAGGAGGTGGAGGTGGTTTAGGATTAGGACAATTTATTGACAATGGCCATCAACATGGTCGAGGACCTGCTCCTCCTGGAAGACAACCTACTTCGGGTACAGTTCTTTCATCACAAGCAGGTAAATAAAAATTTATGATTTATATTTTTACTATACCATAAAGTATGAAGATTTTCAATTTGAAATGTACTTCAGTTTGAAATGTAAATTAAATCTTTTCTGTCATAAATTGTAAAATATATATTTAATCATTATCATTAATTGTGTATCAATATGAACAATCATTAAAATTTTTTTAATTGTTTAACATTTATATAAATACATCCATTGTATTTCATATTTTCAATCTCTTCAGGATTGATTATATTATTTCACATAATTTAACAATTAATATAATCCTCTGTTTTATTAACATTTCCAATTTCTTATCCAATAATTTCGAAAAATTATTTTTCAATCGATTGAAATTAAAAAAAATTCTCTGGTACAAAATTATTATCACCAAATTTATAGATTTCTAATTAAATCACAAGATAATTCGATAAATTTTATTTCTCTGAATGACTTGAAATTCCATGTAATCTCGTGAGTCATTTTCGCAATTTAAAGTTCACTATCAGTTTGACATTCTCAAATTAAACGCAAACGCGAGAGAACAATTTTCAGACTCTCGCATTAATGTACGATACTTTAGTTTTAGAGGCAACGTGAACGTGCCCTATGATGCGCATCGATCTAGATTTAGTTTTAACTGCTTCGAAACTGTGTTAATTACGTAAATCTGGTAATGGTGTACAGATAGCCCAGGCGGCCCAGGTGGAGGATTGAACGAGTCATCGCGTACGGGTCAACGAACTACAGCAGGTGCGCCCCTTGTTAGGGGTGGCGTAGGCGGAATTGGTTGCGGACCTAAGAATCAGAGCCACGGAAACGGAGGATTCGGCGGCGGCGGTGGTGGATGTCTTGCTGGAGGTGGTGGAGGTGGCTACATAGGTAACAGAATCAATATTAACGTGATTTTAAACCGAATCTAGAATTCATCTATGTCGCTTTTAATTACCGATGCATTTGAAATTCGGAACAGATGCAATTGGGGTAATTGGATGTAGCTGTTCCATATTGTTGTACAATGTATGTTACGTTTTAGTATTTGAGAAGAAATTTTTTTCTTTATTTTTTAATGTTTGTCCAACTTTTAATATTAATAGGATTTGATCATCAATGATTGTATTTAAATAACTTGTTTGCTATTGTTCTATATACAACATTTCATTATTTGGACTGTTTGAGGTATCTGAATATAATTGGAAATATGATTTTTTTAATTCATATAAGATACAAATAAATAGATTCAATTGGCAGGATTCTGATTAATCAGATACAAGTTAAAATTTTATTACAAATGAAGTTTTACTTGTATATTAAAATTAATATACAATTAAATGCAAATATATACTTCAAAATATTTTGTACTATTCAATTATATTTCATATTTTGAATCCTATCTGAAAAAATACAAAAACAATGTTATTTAATTATAATTTACCAAGTTCAATTTTATCACATAAATCTTTCATATCATGCATCTTGACCACTATAATACCTCTTTGATAATTCAATTACATAATGATTTAGGTGGTAATACTGGTCACAAGGAACTTAGTAACGGTGAAGGTGGTTACTCCTACGCCAGCAATGAGCTTATGTACGTTCACTTCCTGTCAGGAATAAATCATGGGCCAGGAGAAGTTTACATTATTCCTGCTATCAGTGGTTGTGGTTGTGACTTCCGTTGCATCTCTCTCAATCAGTATCTTAGCGAGACAAAGTGTCTCTGTCCTCCAGGCTGGTTATTGAGTAATAATTCAAGATCTTGTCTTTGTGAGTATCAAAAAAAAAAAAAAAAAATTATTTCTTTCTCTCCTTTGGAACATAACTTTGAAATAAAATAATAATTGATATAATTATTTTTAGCCGATGACAATGTTTCAGACGATTCAAAAGTTACGCATCAACCATTCATGATACCCCTTATAGTTGTAAGCATTGGCCTACTCTTTGCTTTCACCGCTCTCTGCCTACTACTTTGTAAGAAATTATTCGATAATATTGTAACATACATTGTTTTCTGTAATCTTAGAAATTTCGTATTTTCTTAAACGTGAAACTTTTTAATAAAAAGAACGTTTGAAAGTAGACGATCGTATGGATATAATTTTATATCATATAAGCGAAATCTCACTTTTGTCGATAGATAATCGTTACCAAAATCGAAAGGCGCTTATACAACGGCGACAAGTAATGTTTGGTAACGGAACTGAATTAACGTCGCTGCAAGCTGTTTCCGACACTATAATGACTGAATTCAATCCGAACTACGAGTTCGCTGGAAATCTTTATAGTTTTAAAGACTTGACGCAAATCCCACGCGAATGTATAACTTTGATAAGGTAAGTATAAATTTAATGATCATTACAACCACAGTGATACAATCTCAGGGTTAAAATTCAACTTTTTAAAAAAGATATTTCGTAATCAGTTCTTCTTTCTTCTCAATTCCATAAATTAATTGTTTTATTTTGTATCGTAGACCGCTTGGTCAAGGAGCTTTTGGCGAAGTTTTTCAAGGTGTGTATAGATATAGACGGAATCAAGAACAGCCTGTCGCTGTGAAGGCAATCCCTTCTTCGTCTAGGCCTCAGACAGAAGCAGATTTCATGATGGAAGCTCTGATAATGAGCAAATTTAATCATCCCAATATCGTACATTTTATTGGAGTTTCTTTCGAGAGAAATCCAAAGTATATCGTGTTAGAATTGCTTGCTGGAGGGAATTTGAAGAACTTTCTTCGAGAAGAAAGACCACGCGCGGTAAATAGCGTTTTCTTTCAAATATTGGATCGATTGTTATTATATAAAATTCGTTATATTTTAATATGTATATAACGAGATATATATATATATATATGTTAAATATGTAAATGGAAGATAGAAGTATTACGATTTATTTATTATGTTATGAAGTTTTCTTTTTTTCCAAGAGAGAAAAAGAACAGAGATTTACGATCAATCTAATTCGAAAAATCTCTAATTATTTCTGTATATTACTTTACAATTAAAAAAATCTTACGTTTTATTTATTTGAATTAATAAATTCACAATTAAGTTGTTTCCATTTTTGTTCCGTTATTTCCGTAATTTTAATCATCGAAGGCTTGTTTATTAATTTTTCTATTAAGTTCCATTACTTTTTGTTAACTATGTGTCGTTCTCGATTGCAATTTAAACAGGGTCAACTCTTAATTTTTGCCGCTCGTCATCAATGGGGTGCATGCGTATATTCCTGTTTTGGCAGGATCGGCCCACTTCGTTGAGGATGCAGGATTTGATAATGTGCGGATTTGACGTAGCGAACGGTTGCAAATATATGGAAGAGGCCCGATTTATTCATCGAGATATCGCCGCGAGAAATTGTTTGCTCACGTCTAAGGGATCCGGTCGTATAGTGAAAATTGCGGATTTCGGGATGGCAAAGGATATTTACAGGAGCGATTATTATAGAAAAGGGGGCAAGGCGATGTTACCGATTAAATGGATGCCACCAGAAAGTTTTCTAGATGGAATATTCACTACGAAAACTGATGTTTGGTGAGTTTCATCTCGAATTATTAATTGGAACAACTTCGTTTATATCTGGAAAACAAGTTCGTATTTATTATTAGATTTTTTTATGTAAAATTTCGTAATACTTTCACTCATGTAGGATGCGATAAATATTGTCAAAATTATGAACAAACGTTTTGATTCAAAAGAATCAAATTTTTTTAAGAGTCCATTACATAATTGATCAAAATAGATTAAAAATATTCTCAAAGAATATTTGTGAATGTTTGAATGAAATGAAATATGTTTGAAACTGTAAAATAAAAAAATAGAAAAGTATTTCTAATAAATTATATTCCTTATGATTAATTTATTATAGGGCATTTGGCGTGTTACTATGGGAAATTATGTCTTTCGGTTACATACCTTACACTGGTTGTACTAATAGAGAAGCTATGACAATGGTAACGTTAGGGGGTCGTTTAGAAAAACCTGCAGGATGTCCTGATCCTATTTATGGATTAATGACACGATGTTGGCATCCACGCCCTGAAGACAGGCCTAGTTTTGCAACTATTGTCGAGAGAATTGGTTATTGTTTACAGGTAAAACAATTAATTAATTAAAAAATTTTACTCAAACAATAAGAAATAAAAACTCACAACTTAATTATATACAATACTTTTACATATAATAATTTACAATAATATAAATTTTTATTTTATTATACCATTAACGAAAATTAAGATAAGAATTGAATGATTTCAATTAATAATTCTAATTTTTATGCTTAGGATCCTGATGTGATAAATCATCCAACTCCCAATTTTGATATTTTGCCAATCTGCGATCGTGAAGTGACGATAATGAGACCTGATCCGGAAACAGAATGTATCAATGTGCAGTCAGAAGTGAGTTATCGTTTAACGTTTCATGTTTTCGATTACTAACGATTCGAACTTGGTGTATTCTTCTTAATATTTGTTCCACGATACTTCTTCGAACAATGAATACATATAACATTATAGAATACTGTACGTTTTTATAGCTGGATGCATGTGGATACATGCAACCCAGAATTATCGATTCGCGATCAGCTAGTCAACGCATGGCTCAAGCTATTGCGAGCAATAATCCTAATCTCAGAAACGAAAATCCAAATCGAATGAATTCGAACGAAAGAAATAATATGCAAGGACGATTTCAATCAATTCCATATGGCACTAATACAGATTCTGAACAAATCTTGGGTGGAAACGCGAGTCGCGAAGATTTTAATGATGAAAATGTTCATTCAGAGGTATATTGGACAAAGATTGTACAAAATTTCATTTTCTAGTACATATTTTTGTTCATCATCGATTAAATGAACTTTTATTTTTCATTTTTATTAAATGGAATTTTATTTATTATTATTATTATTATTATTATTATTGATATTTCTTAAGAAATTAAATGCTTTGATGTTAAAATGTTATTCACAAAAATATCTGTCTACATATTTATAATATATTTTACATAATTAATTTATTGAATTACTATTTGCAATTATGTTATCATATATTTATTGATTTATAAGATTGTACATTAACAGATATATAGATTATGGTAGCCAATATAAAAATGAATAAAAAATTACTTATTAAATAAATTTAATACATACATAATATGATATTTGTGTGAATAATTTTTTATACATATATGTGTAAGAGTTAGTTTTATTTTCTTTAGTAAACTCGCATTCATGTTATTTGTTAATCTATGTTTTTCATTTTTGTGTATTATTTCTTAATCATTTATTAATTTTTGATTATAAGATATTAATAAATATTTAAAAAGTGTAATATTTAATATATTGGCCATTAATATAACATTCTAAAATATTTATTCTTCAATTATTATTCAATATAACTTTTGTTATAATATAAACTTTGATTTGTTATAATATAAACTATGATTATATTTAATCCAAACGTTATAATGCAGAAAATCTTTCTCTATTATTAATAGAATATACAATTAATAAAGTGATTAAAATAATTATCTAAATTGTATTAAATTTTATAAACGTATTTGTACCATATATATATTATTGATGATGCATTAATAGCCAATATAATAAATAGACTTGGATTTTTATACAAATTTATATTTTTTATTATTTTTTTAAATCTAAAGAAATCTTTTTTACTCTTTAATACCTTAATGTTCATATTTGTAATATTAAATACTTAAAATCATAATTATATAATAGATTTGCTTATTTTTGTCATTTGTTTGCCTATTTTTCTTAAATTAGAATATCTTATATCAAAATACAGATGGTTAATATATATATTCGTGGTAGACTTTTAGTGAATTGATTTTAGAGACTATAGACAGAATTCTATCTTTACTATTCTTCTTCATTTAACAAATCTAAATTGCTCATTTAATTATAATTAATTAATTAAAATTATCATTTAAATTATATTAAATAAATCTTAATGAATATTTTTGTATATTAACTTTTGTATTTTTCCTAACCTTAACTCTTCAAAGATGTCCCACGAATATATTAATATCTTATATGTAATTTATAAAATATATATATATATATATCACACCTATTTTTATTATATTATTTGAAATTCGTTACAATATAATGTTTGAATGAAAATTTAATGAAAAAAATTGAAATATTAAATTAAATATTATAATGCTTACTTTATTTTGGATAATTCATATACTTTTCCATGTATGCCATATATTTTTCTATATTTTAATTTCATATAAACGTATAAATTCGCAGTTTAATAACAAACCAATATTCCAATAACGATTATAATGATTTCAACGAATTTGCAGAACAAACATAAGGCCGATAATTTAAATTGCGAGGAGAAAAGCGTACATCGAATTTCGACGGACATCGAAAATAGGTTAAGGAACACGGACAATGGTAACAATCGTGCATCAAATATCGAAAATCGTCGAAATAGTACGGTTGATATTACGGATGTAGACAGGAGGAATGGCAATGAAAGCATAACTACCACTGAGACTAATTCTGATTCTTTGATCGTTGCTTCTTCGGACACACCGCCTGATACGATCAATTCCTCACCGAACACACGTAGTCGATCTCCTAGTCACACTGGCCTAAATACGAGCGCCACTAATGTTAATGGAATGTTAAAGAAAAACGCCCTAAAGGCTGCGCTCAGTTTGGATCCTAGTGCTCTGTGTCGTGGCACGATACCGTACGAAAAAATAGCATTTTCGCCACCACCACAGCGTTCAAGTACCCCTGGCAGCATGGAAATCAAGAAGGTAATTTAAATATTTTTATGAAATGTTTATACGAAGAAAAAGAGAAGATTGTAGGATTATGATTAATTGACAGAAGAGAATTCTGTAGTAGTTATGTAAATTATGTACATATATTATATAAAAAATTAATTATTAAAATTTAAAAACGAATTAATATTGATTAAGAAACAATTACATCGTATATAATTGTACTTCTGTCAAATTATCATAAACATTATAAATACGATTACAATATCTATCCTAATACTTTTATTCTTTAGGAAATATCCATTTTTTCCAATTATCATCATCTAACACGTAAAATACATGTAACCCTTTGCACTCCCTTATCTTCATTTTCCACTCTGCAAAATATTATTATTATTATTAAGGATCTTCTTTAAATTAATTTCCCTCTTTAAATTAATCTGTGATTAATCTCATAGTGAAACGATTCGAGTGCACAGGATTAGCATACCACACTCGTGATATTCGATGTCGTGTCTTTTTTATTTCCAAAGAATCCAGCGATGCTTATCCCTGAAATTCATTTAATCGCAGTTCTATGTATGATGGAACTATCGTCTCTTTGTTCTTCACACGAAGGATCTTCTGGGTCACGAGCTACCAAAGGAAGAGGAATGCTTTTGCTGAGATTTGTACAAAGGGGAGTAACAGAACTCCCCGATAGTCAATGTTACAATGCATTTGACTAAATCATTGCGACGTTCTGCAATTGTAAACGCAGTTTCTATTGTTATGCGTTTCAAGGAATCATCGTCATTTTTGTGGATACGAAATGAAGAATATTCGCGTCGTATGTATTCCGAAGAAACGTTATTATAAGTGGAAATTTCGATTCTTGAACAAGTGAATTGGTATCATTTTTTCATTCCCTTTTGTTTTTCTTTGTTTTTGAATGCATTGAAAAAAGTTATTTTCATCCATATACCAGAGGGAAGACTTTAATTGAGTTTATTAAATGGACGGTCACGCATTCTCCATTATGACACATATTAAGGGAATACATCAGAAGTTTTTAAAAAATAAGAGAATTTTTTTTTTTTAATTTATTTTTTTAATCGTAGTTTAGGTAATATATTTTAGTTTAATAAATAAAAAAGTTTTCTTATATTTTAATTTATTTTTTAGAAGCTTCAAGGTGAATTCTTCTCATCATATGGCGAGACGAACGAAAATAATCATCGATAAAATTTATTTATAGTAGCATATATCGAATATAAGGAATTGCAAAACAAAAATGAAACATTATGAGCTTGAGATCGTCCATTATTAAATTCATTTCATTATTAAATTCCATTACTAAATCCTTTTTCTCAAAACTCGCGAACACGAATACTTATAATAACATACACACTTGCGCGCGTAAAGTTGTATACGTATCTACATATTACATGTAAAAGAATTTAAAAAAAATAGAAAAAAGAAAGAATTAGAAAAAATGAAAGGTACTATCGTGATGTTCAACATACGTACGTATAAGAAAAAAAAAAAAAAATAAAAAAAATAAAAAAAAAATAAAAAAAAACCGAGAAGAAAATTCAAAGTATTAAGTCTGAAACGAATATTATCACGTACCTATACAAATACACTTCATTGTAATGTTCAATAATACATTGAATATTCGACATATACGTACATTACCACACATTACACATCACAGTTATAGATATAAATTAACAAATATAAATTAACGAAAAAAACTATGTAGATATAGCTGTTAACGAGCTGTTATCATCGATGTTCCTCCTGCAGAAGGATTATCCAGAAAAATTCAATTAGGGATCCTTCTTGTCCTTTATAAAGTATATGCAGGACGATCGTCAAATTGCGAATATCGTGTAATTGTATGAAACATTTTTTAAAGATACAAGCGATGTACACAACGTGTGATATACATATATATATATATATATAGAAATGAAGAGTTTAAAAGAGTGCGTGTGTGAGAGAGAGAGAGAACGGAAGAGAGGGAGAGAGAGACAATACGCTATATACACAAGACTTAATTTACACCAAAAGAAAAGAANAAAAAAAAGAAAAGAAAAGAAAAAAATGTACGCCTATGGCGTTCTTTCTACACATACCTGTAAACCTTTACGTATACATATACATATGTATAAATGTATATATTATATATATATAATTATATATATTATATGTATAATTATAATATGTATATTCTATATATAGATTTATTTATCAGAAAACTTTAGATAAGGCTGGTTGAATCGCCTTCATCCTCGATATATTATGATTTAAATAATAATATATCATTCGAACAACGATCATAATTTCTCCAAAAGCGTTTAATTATTAAAAAAGAAAAAAAAAAGAAAAAGAGGGAAAAAAAAGGGTGACCGATTTCTCAGATCAAGTACCGAGAAATCCGATTGATATTATCGTTCTTGCCGTAAAAAAATTACCTGACTGTTGGTGCATGCAAAAATGAAATAAAATAGGATATCCTCACCTACCTCGTTGATTCGTTGTTAGCTTGTGAAAGAACGACAGATGATGAAAAGTCCATTTACTTTTAACATCGATCTCGTTGTATACGATCGTTAACTGCAAAAAAAAGAAAAAAGAAAAAAGAAAAAAGAAAAAATGAGGGAAGGGGGGGGATGGACAAACGAAAAGACAAACCTTTCGAAACGAGAAAAAGAGTACTGGCCCTTTTTTATTTTTCTTACAACGACGACGTACTTTACGTACGCGCAGCGTATGAAAGTCAACCACCATATATCTGTACGTGAAACGTAATAAAGACATGTTTGTGGAAAACAATGTATTATTATTCGTGATTCATTATTCTCGATAGACTGAAAAATAGTATTCAATATGTATCAATCAACGTCAATACCAATTAATTATCATTAACATGTTATATACCTATTATGTTCTTTCCTGGCTTTAGAAGTTAATCGTCGGATAGATAAATTATTAGTCATTTCTAGGGAAAAAAGACTTTTTCTCATTCATTTCGTTTAATTAATTAAAACTACTATCAACGGATAGATAATCACGTTTTGTTTTTTCTTGTTAATTAAAATGGAAGAAATATATATACATATTTTATAATATTTTTTTAATTATTATTTAAAAATTATTTTTTTATATTATTGTTTTAAATTAGCTATCATATTTATATTTATTTAGATATTATATTTTTATTTAAAAATTCATTTGATTGATTTAATAATGGATATATATAATTTTGATTTTAATTATAAATAATATAGCGAAAAAGAAAAAACACAAATTTAAAATTCTTGATCTTCAAATTCATATAATTAAATCCATTTATATTTGAAATTTAGATGACTATGAAATAGAAATATTAAGTATTTATATATTAAAAATAAATGAATGCTAAAGTAAATAATAATTCATTTGTAGATAGACAGATTTATTCGCTGAAAAATAAATGAAGAATAAATCTTTCACAAGCTATGAAGAATAAAATATTATGTAAAGATATAGATTGTCTAAAATTTTATTTGTATTTTGTATTTCAAAATACAAAGAATCTACTATTAAGACTACTAGTTTGATTGAGTTATTAAATTATGTATTATTGGATCATCTATGGGAAACTTTGAAGGAAAAATCAAGCAGATATGGAAATCCATACTGGAAAAAACTGATGATTCATTTGTTTGAATGAAACGAGATTAAAATAAAGTAAAATAACGAATTAAAATTTTTAGTATTATCAATTTTCTATGAATAATCTCTCAAACATATCATAGCATCATAACAAAATTGATAAAATATATTGTATTATATTTTTTATATCGAAAAAGTAAATTTCATCATCAGAGCTCAATGTTCAATGCAGTTTTTGAAACTTTTCTATCGAAGAGTAAAAATAACATTGTCATTTCGTTTATATTACAATCTACTGTCGGTAGCTGCTCCACCAGTTTCGTGTAGACGTACAAGCATCTGAAAATATATGTATATACATAACCGAAGAAAACTACAAACGACCAGACAAACGGATAGAAGCACAGGCATCGATGGTACGAAGAAGAAGGGGTACACTACGACAATTCGAGTGTAGTTTTCGGTGAACAGTGCGCGTTTGTGCCACCCTTTCGAGAATCTCGCGACTTACGATTATATTTACTGTTATAGTCATTATTAAAGAGATGTCGAATTACTCGTACTATTATGTGAAAGTTATCGACGATGGTACCAATAAGGCAAAAACTTATAAATTTTTGAAAGGGTAAGCTATGTTTTTGATCAGATGATTTTTCGATTTTGTATCATAATTATGATCCAGTTTTATTCTTTCACGATCATTCATTTCAATCTGTTCAATCAATTGTCAAATAATAATAAATATCATCTTCACGTTCAAGACTGTCCGTGTAATTGAAGAATGTGAAACATTGTCACGTTATTAGAAAATTGTTAATAAAGAACAAGACATTAGAGTGGAATACACGTGTTTTTCTACTAATGCACGTGACCAACATAGCCGCTAATTTCTCCAGAAAAGATGATTTATTCGTAGGAATCCTACCCTGTTTAAGCCGCCGGAGGACACATGGTCTACATATGGTCGCTACAATCTTCTGTCACGTTTGCTTCGAGGAGGACTCTCCGGTTCAGGTGATATCTATCATCCAGCGAACGCTATTTTCAAGGTCCGTGCTCGGTTAATCGCATATTTTTTAATGATTGTCATTAAATCAAATAACTTCTTTGACCGTAATTCACTCAAACGAGCGATCTATCCGCAAAACGAGAAAAACCTTTCTGGCGATTCACCAACGAATTTTTCTTCTATTCTTTTTCCTTTTTTCCTTGACTCCTTAATAATCTTTTACAGCTCATTTACTCGAAGACATTCCATGGAGTGAATAACACCGCGAACGAAATGAACTCGGCAAAGGCCAGAATGAAGTAGGCCTGACTATGCCCGAATAATGTCAGTAGGGGGGAAATTTTCTTCTTTTTTATTTCCAAGCACCGTTTGGAACGCCGCCAAATTTAACTTTAACATAAAACGAACCCCCTCTAGTATACGAGGTACCGGCCATAACGTAGAACGAATTCATATTTTTAGTCCCGTTACTGCCAAGGTTGTTACCCAGTTTTCTTGTCGTTGCCACATTTCAAAAGTATCTTCCAATATAAAGTCTTCTAATCTTTTGTTTAATGGCAATAATAATGATTTTCTGGCTGCAAAATATTATGTCTGATTAATTTATTTGTAGATGCATATAATATATGTGTCGTGCAATTGTAAGCATGATTGCTTTCGTATACGATCTGATAATATCTAATCATATTACGAAATTTAAATATAATACTAATGAAATATTTCATTAAATCTGGTTTAATTAATCGATGAAATACAATTAAATAATTTTTTTTTACGTCAAAAGGAATCATGTAATATTAATCACACTAATCGATTTTTTAAACTTGATATTTTGTTATATCTTGTTTAATTAATCGACGAAAAAAACTTAATTTTTAATTATTAGAAGGAATTTTATGAAACAAAATAATAAAAATAGATAAGATCGTCTAAATCTTCAAAATTAATATTTGAAAATGCATATCGGTAATGATTGCAAAATCAATTATTCTCTTCTGGCATATATATATAAAACTTCTGAAAGTGTATTTTAGTGTAAATTATTTTATGTAAAATACAATAAATTATGCTTGAAAACAATGTTAAAAAAAAATATGATATATAGATTCATTCTATAATCTTGATACTTATAATACAATTTTAAAGCTATAAATATAGATATCTATCTATCTAAGATTTAAAAAATATCAACCAAAATTTATCAACGCAATTGTTGCTATTGCTATCGTTAGATTATTAATCATTTATTTATCAAAAAAACTGTATCATTATTTCACAGTATTTCATTCTATTCATGAATTCTATTCATCAAAATCATATTTTATTTATTATTTCTTTCTTTTTTTATTCTTAAATAAAATTTTGATTAAAATTTTCAATCCTGGTTTATGCATAGCATTTATTTTTTTTCATTCGATTCATGACTTTGAAACGTAAACTAAATATAAAATAATGATATATGATTAATTGAATATTGAATATTTGAATATTATTGAGTTAATATATTCTGGTTGTTATAACAAAAAACGTTGTTACATTTAAATAGAAAATTGATTTAGTATAGAAAATGATACACACAGTATTCAAAATATTATACAAATTCTTTTATAATTATAAATCAAAAATTTAATATTAGAAAATTAGAAATTAGATTATTATTATTATTATTATTAAATTAGAAAAAGAATAAAAAAAGTATAAAAATAAAAAATTCTTTTAGATCAACATTTATCAAAAAAATATATATCTAATAACAAAAAAATTAAATATATTAAAAAATATTTAAAAAATGAAATATAATTACCATTATTTATTTATCCTATATCATTTAACTTTTATCGGATTTATTTGATTCTTCTCTCTAAAATTTAAATTTTATTAATATTCTAAAAATTTTAATTTTTCATAACCAAATATGTGAATAAAAAAAAAGAAATAAAAAAAATAATAAAATCCAAAAAATTTATTCAAATACAAATATTTATATTTTTAAAGTTATTTGGTTACGAAAAATCTTAATAATGATGACAATTCTTTTTAATGAAAAGAAATGAAAAAAAAAAAGAAAAATAATAAAATTCCATTCGATACCATTCTTGCATATAAATGCATGTTTTAATATACAACATCCTTAGCATTTCGACGCATCATGACGCCGACGCCGTCGTTTACTAGGCGAGGGAGGAGGTTGTTTTCGATTCAGACATTTATCTTTCGAGAAATTTAGTCAGTATATCGCGAGCACTTCAGCATCGAGGACGGTTATCGTGTATGACTTTCTCATCTACGAACAAAAATTTAACATAAGTTTAAGATAAGTTCAAGGAAACTACTGAGTATATCAAAAGATTTATATCATGTTCTAATATAAACAATAGATAGATTAACAAATGATACATATACTTCTATACATAGAATTTAAACAAAGAATCAATTTTGCATTAATTTCCTGATAGAAAGATTATCATTAAATTGAATTTTATTGATCGACTTGAGAATAGAGAGGGTAAGAAATCTTTTATACATAACTTTCACTTTATACGGCACATCTTCCAATCAATCATTCTCCTTGTCGATTTTATTTCGTTGAATTTTTCTTTATTAAATATATTAACACAATTATATATTATATTATATGAAAATCGATTGAAAATTATCAATGATTAATAAAAAATAATTCAATGTTAATAATGTAAAAAAAATGTGATATTTATTTCTTGCAGTTACAATTATATTACTTTTAACGATATTTCTATCATAGTTCTAGGAAATCATTCGATAATTGTTATTGCTTTAGGTAATTAAATGATTGTTTCATAATTCAATAATATGAATTGAACTGAAAGACGAAAGAAATATGTGGTGCATGTTAAAGTATAAAAATTTTCGATTATGCCTGGTTGTTTTAAGTTATATTATAATTAAAAAAAATGAATAAATATAAAAATAATTTGGAATTTTATGTATTTTTATTTTCGGTATAATCGTTAATTATTGGTATGCATAATCGGGATTATGTATAATTAATGTCAAGGATATGATGGATTAAATTTAGAGGTCAATAGAAAATAGAGTGACACATCATCAAAATCTACTTTCATATGATCTCCTTTAATGGCGCGATACTTTTTTATAATACGAAAAATATGATGAAATTCACATCCATTTCAAAAATAGATAAATTCAGTAATTTACTAAGAAGCTAATAAATATTATATTTCTATATTTTAAATTCACATATATTATTAAATATTATTAGCATTAATTAAGTTACAATAATAAAATATTTAATAAATAAGAAAATTATAGACACAACTAAAATAGTTTGTTAGAAATTAATATTATTTTATTATATTATATTAAATTTTTTTTCTTTATTATAAATATCATTTTTAATATCACAAATATTTAAAATAAATATTTAAAATAATAAATATAATATAATTATTTTGATTTAAATAAAAAATGCAGATATGAAATTTCTCATATTCATCGATTAAAAAAATTATATCCGACATTTTTAAAACTTTGGTTATATATAATTTTTAACTGATTTACATTTCATCACTAGTATATAAATTTATTTTTACATTTACCTTTGATAAGAGCTTCTTCTAAGAAAATCCGATAATAATATTACAAACAATAAAATGAAATTATATTCTTTTGTAGTAACATAATCTTATTTCAGAACTGGAAAAAAGATGCAACCAAAGCGTTACGAAACTATAATAAAAAAGTATATAACAGATCAAATAAGTTATATATAAATAAGTTGTATAGTAATATATATATGTAATCACAAAACAAAAACATTTATATATGTATATATCCGCAATTAAATCGTTAGTCATTCGTTCTCCGCATTTATATCACGTAAGTTAACAAAACGTTAAAACAATTTACTGCAATTTAATAATACTTACAATAGATTTGAATAGTATGACGTACATCAAGGTTGATCCAAAAAATATTTTTCCTAACAAGTGCTCAGAAAACCATCGAATCATGTTAAAAACTATGTATGTCTTGAAGTTTCATGCAGTAAGTTAGATGTCAGTGCGATCGAAACATGGAGCCATTTATGCACATTAACAAGTTGTTATCAAATCATTCACAATAGCGTTACTCTTATCAATTGATAGATTGATAGTATTCTAATTTGCATTTAAGTGCATAATTTTTTAAGTGCATTTTATTAAAAAGAAAATTCTAGAATTCTTAAATAGTTTGTTAAGTGATATATTTTTATTAATTTTATATTTATATATAGTTTGGGATTTTAACAACAAAGGATATTTTATATAAACCAATAAATCATAGCTAAAGCAAAATGAATCACTTTTCATATGGATGGAAACAAGAAATAAGCGAACCAGAATTTATAAAACAAGAAGCATCGAAGGCGGAAGTGAGTATTAATATCAGATTATAATTTTATCAATGTTAATTGTAAAGCAATTTTGTATTTTATATAATAAAGGCAAATATCTATTGCATCATTATGCAATAAAATTAATTGAAGCCTTTATTGCGTTTCTAAAATTCAAAAGATCGCGCTTTCATAGATTAATTCTTGTCATATTTCATAGATGGTGCTATTTTATTAAGCCGCGTACACATCAAAATAATAGAAATAAATGAAACCAAATAAAATCAAATATAAATAAGTTAGATATAATAACTTTATACCGGTAGTTTGCATATAACATTTTGACATCTTGTAACAGTAAGGTTATGCTAAGAAATAAAATGTTCATACATTTTACATGATTTGTTTCAGTAGTAATAGTTTAATATATAATAGTTGACAGTGTGTGATATAAAAAAAATTATATTTGTGAAAAGTTCTGTGCATTACTATGGTGTATAACCGTGTCGTGTGACGAAACATAGGTGAGGGTAAGAAAAGAATGAGCTCAGTTCTCGTTTCCAGACCTATCAACATAACGGTTCTATATCCGTACTGTGAAATCTCGTGAAATAGCAGCATTAATATTCCGTTAATTTTCGTTTATCGTAATCTAAATCATTTAGTTTTACATAGAGCACATGATATGAGCTAATCATGGACTAAGAAAATTTTTAACATTAATTGAAAACATTTAAATACTGTGAAAAATAGATATTTAGTGATTAGTGGTGATCGTGTTAGATTAGTCAGGATTCAGGGCGTAACCATTGTGAAAAATGAGTTATTACGACAATAGGAATGGAACTGTGCTTAACGATGTGTTCGTTAAGACAGCGGTTGAGGTCAAACGATTTCTCCCGTCACTTTTCAACATCAAAGTGGTAGGCGTTTTTGAAGCGTTTTGATAAACTTTTTAGAGCTTTAGTTCGATATATTCTAACGCGATTAGAATTGATTATTAATAAAATCTTTTACTTATTTAAAAATTTGTTATAAAATATGTTTTCAATATTTTTATCTGTAGGATAACTATTTCAAAAGTTTATTGCGTCTCGTCTTGTAAATTCTTTGTCTCTTTTTTGAGATAAGAATTACATATTTATACGTTTGCTTACTAATAATACTTAGAAGTGATGAAATTTCATTTGCTTATTAGATTCTATATAATATAATTTAGAGAAAAACAATCACGAATATTTTATTTTATTTTAACTAAATATACATTTATATCATTTTTGAAAAGTAACGGACATTTTTAGGATTTACAATTTAAATTAAATTACTCTGTTTATCGTGGCATTTAAACGAAGGCAAGGCAATTTGCCTGTACATAAGTTTTTTGTGTTATTATTATTATATAATATTCTTTATACGTATGATATTAAAGTAATTTAAAACCGGATATTGAATTAAATTTAATTGAGATAGTATTTCAATATGCGCATGATCTTCAATTTTTAAATTTATAAACGACTTTTTTTTCATTGAGAATATATATAATATAATAATTTATTTTTACCAAATTAGTTGAAGTTTTTCAATTTAATTTACATTAATATGAATTAAATAAAAGTTTTCTAAAAATTTTAAAATGAAAAAAATTTCACTTTAAAAAATATAATAATCGAAATATTTAAAAAAATTTATCAATTAATAAATAATTAAAAATATTTGAAACATTATATTTTATTATATTGTATATATCATAATAAATTCATTTGTATTAAACAATAGAAGTGTATATATATATATATATGACAATTTATAACAATTTTGAGATATAAATGTTGAACAATTGTTTATTTTTCATTAATTTAATATTTTTAATATTGATTCGACTATTAGAACTACAAATGAAAATGATTATTTTCAAAGGTAATGACGTTGATTGTGATAATTTAATCAATACATACGCATTTTTTATCTAACGATATGCTTGCAGAGAATATGATTAAAATAAAATATTTTCATCATGCGTCATATCTTACTATTCATTCATTGTACATACAATAAAACAAGTGTTAAGATAAAAAAAAGTTTCTTATTGATAAAATTTATCTATGATTTTTAAAGGAATTTTTTTAATATAATTTATTTTAATATTAGCTATAATTTTTATAAAAAATTACTTTATTAAAATGTAATTTTTAAAGAAATAACAAGTCTATATTCTGAAATAATAATAGTTAATAGGGTTAAAATATTTAATTCTAACATTCAGTTTTTTTTTTTATTTTTTCATATCTTTTTTTAATATTACACTGTATGATTCATCGTAGAGATAAATAGAGATTAAAATCTATTAGTAAGTCATCATTACTGACATTAACTTTCATGCGTGATTTCATGCTTAATATTTCATACCTAATAAAAATTAATTATAACTCAAATATTTGAAATTAATAAATTTTTCAAAAATTTTTTTATGTAATATAAATATGTTATCAAAAAGATTCTAGAAGATGTCAATGTATAATTTAATGATCCGAAAAAATAATTTATTATTCTAGGATTAAATATTTTTTTTTCAATAGAACGATTATAGTCCATTTATTTCTGAATTTTAGTTTTATAATTGTAATATATTTTGTTATTGAAAATCAAAGAATAAAAACACATTATATTACTTACCTAGTAGATCATCTCATCTAGTACATGTAGACTTGATAGTACGCACTATGTGACTAATATTTGAAATAGAATTTTATCTCTGCATATCTCTTTATGTCGTATCGGCAATATTTTGTAATCTAAATTAAATGTGGTTAGGTTTTTCATCCGTTCGTATTATGATAACGCATATATTATAAATTTAATCACAGGTTTGCAATAACAGTATATTTTCATCCATAATCGAAAGCTTTAATTTCCTTGTTACAATAAAATTGTTTAAATGATCAACAAAATAATTATAATTTTTCTTTTTTTTTTCTTTGAATAATGATAATTTTAATGTAATTTTGCCTATGTCGAATATATCAAAATGGAACGAAAACAGAAATATATAAGTTACAGATATTTGAATTATGAGCAACAAAATGTAGCTGAATTGAAATTATCACCGAGATTAGAATTTAACAAAAAAATTAATATCGAGAAAGAAAATTCAATTCCTATTTCTGGTACTATTCATTCTGGTAAATTTCATTTGCATAAAGAGGAAGGAAAAAGTACAAATTCTGAGCCAAAATCGACAAAAGCAAAGAAAACGTACAAAAATAAACCTCTAAGAACATTTAAAAATTTTATTGGGAAATCCTGTTACAACGTAGGCTATCTTGGAATTGTTATTTAAAATTATCTACAAGAAGAAACAAAAGTTATAATTCGCATAAAAAAATGTGCCAAAAAATATTGTTTTTGTTTTAGTTAGGAGAAAAAGGATCTGGCTTCAGGCCACGAGCAGTGGTTCAAGATTTTCAGAAGCTCAGGGAAGAATGTTTGTCAACGGGAACATTATTCGAGGATCCCGAATTTCCAGCGGACGATTCATCGTTATATTTTTCAAAAAGGCCCGACAGATACATAGAATGGAAACGACCTATGGTAAGAAATTTCATATATACATACAATATTTATATGCAGAATTCAAATAAAATTTTAAGAGAGAAAGAAAGAAGAAAGAAAGAAAAAGAAAGACAAAAGAAGACAAAAAGAGAGAAATTATTTTATAATTCATTACTGAATTAAGTAAAGTATTATTATTAAGTAATTGGATAAAATTGAAAAATTATTCCTTATAGATTAATTTCCTTATAGATTTAAACAAGATTTTTAAATTACTTTATACTTTATTATAACAGGAAATTGCGGACAACCCTCAACTGTTCGTTGAAGGTTTTTCCCGATTCGATGTTCAGCAGGGCGAATTAGGAGATTGTTGGCTGCTGGCAGCGGTTGCAAATCTCACTATGGATGCCAATTTATTTTTTCAAGTAGTTCCAGAAGATCAGAGTTTTGAGGAAAATTATGCTGGTATCTTTCATTTCAGGTATTTCTATGATTAGTTGAATCATTTCAAAATGATTATATATATATATATATATATATATATATATATTATACTTCGTAAACGAAAAATGTTTATTCGTATAAATTTTTATGTTTGTTAAAAATAGATTTTGGCAGTACGGTAGATGGGTAGATGTGGTTATCGACGATAGATTGCCAACTTATCGTGGTGAATTGGTATATCTACATTCAGCTGAAAGCAACGAATTCTGGAGTGCTTTATTAGAGAAAGCATATGCGAAACTTCATGGCTCGTACGAAGCATTGAAAGGTGGAACTACTTGTGAAGCCATGGAGGACTTTACGGGTGGTGTAACAGAAATGTATCAGATGGATGAAACACCTCCAAATCTATTTAATATTCTCTTAAAAGCTTACGAAAGAAACTCGCTGATGGGCTGTTCAATAGAGGTATAATTTGATGGACGTTTTCTTAAATTCAGTGATCGTCGAATGCATAAATAAAATAAGTTACTATTTTAGCCTGATCCAAATATATTGGAAGCTGAAACACCTCAAGGTCTGATCAGAGGCCATGCTTACAGTATTACACGTGTTAAATATGTAGAAATTCAAACGCCTAATCAGTATGGAAAAATACCTTTACTTAGACTTAGAAATCCATGGGGTAATGAAGCAGAATGGAATGGTCCATGGAGTGATCAGTAAGTTAAATAGATTTATGGAGGCATTAAATTATAAATGTAGATTCCAAAAATATATAAAGAATTCTATTTTCTGAATTCTCAACTTTTGTTTTTTTTCTTATTTAAAAAAATTATGAATATTATTGAAACATGAGTAAATATATATGCAAAATATTAATGAAACACGGATATGGATTATTCGTAAAAAAATTTTTACAATGAAATATTCTTATGAGCTAACTTATAGAGAGTCACATCTTGTTTCACATAATGATTTTGTTTAATAAAATAAATTTTTGCGTAATAGGTCTCCAGAATGGAGATTTATTCCTGATCATGAGAAAGAAGAATTAGGTTTGACATTCGATATGGACGGTGAATTTTGGATGTCATATCATGACTTTATCAAATATTTTACACAATTAGAAATATGTAACTTAAATCCAGACTCGTTGAGCGAGGACGATTTAAATGCTGGTAAAAAGAGATGGGAGATGAGTGTATTTGAAGGAGAATGGGTACGTGGTGTTACAGCAGGAGGTTGTAGGAACTTTTTAGGTAAACATTTCTTATTATTTAATTTTTTAATTTAATCCTTATTTAATCATTTTCTGTTTCTATTATTCTGTTATAAAATAACAATGAATATCATTTTTAATAAATTATAGAAACTTTTTGGCATAATCCACAATACCGAATTACATTGGAATATCCTGATGAAGATGATGATAAGTGTACAGTTATTGTTGCATTGATGCAAAAAAATAGGCGAGCACAGAGGAGAATGGGTGCAGAATGTTTGACAATTGGATTTGCGATATATCACGTAGGTGTTCATATTATAATTATAATATTATAATATTAACGAATATTTCATGCCTAATAAAAAATATTAATATCATTTTATTATGAAAAACAATATATTGATTATAATGATTATATAGTTGGAATATCCTGAACGGTTACCTAAACCATTAGACATTAATTTCTTCAAATATAATGCATCAGTTGCAAGATCACCAGCATTTATAAATTTACGAGAAGTAACGTGCCGTTTCAAATTACCACCTGGTGTGTATTGTATAGTTCCAAGTACATTCGATCCTAACGAAGAAGGTGAATTTTTGTTAAGAATCTTCTCTGAAAATAAAAATAATATGCAGTAAGTATATCTTTTTTTATAATAAGAACTTTATTACAATAAAAATTTAAAATTTATATTAAAATTATATTTTTTTTAGAGAAAACGATGATGAAGTTGGTGTTGGAGAAGTTGATGATAGGGTAAGATATTTATATTTATAATTAAATATATTATATATAAGTATTAAAAATATCAATATAAAAATTTATGTTTTAATATTTGTTTTTTCAAAAACAATTACTGTTAATAAATAAATGTGTATAGATCGCACAATAATAGATTTTGCACCATCTATAGTATTAACACATAATAATATGCAAAATAGTTCTATTTATTTATGCATTTATATATTGATAATATTTATTTAATATGCTAAGCTTTAATAGTGCTTTTAAAAATATTCTTTATTGTGAAAATATATAATATATATATAATATATGTATATCATATCCAATTGCATAATCAAGTTAATCAAAAAAAATTTAATTAATAATCGTGAATTATAATTAATAATTATAACAATGTTTGCATGTTGATATTGCTTGGCGAATAGATCATTAATCCTAAAAGTGCTGATGAACACGCTGATGGAGATAAGGTAAATATTTGCACGCTAATATTCATCCAAGTGTTTCAAATATTTTATAATAATTATTATTAAAACTTAATTGTTTAATAATAAAATTTATCATTTCATATTATTCATTTCCATATTAAAATTTCAATATTCCTATTTTTTAGGTTCGAGATGAACCAGAGCCAGATCGAAATGCAGAAAAAGTTCGAGAATTCTTTAAAAAGCTTGCCGGTGACGATATGGAAGTAGATTGGATGGAACTGAAGGAAATTTTAGATTTTGCGATGCGAAAAGGTATGATTACATTTTAATTTATTTATATTAATTTTTAATATTACAAATGAAGAATAATATTATAAGTGAAATTTATGAAAAAAATATATCATATTTAAGAAAATGTAATATTTATGATTTTAGAAATAAGTTATGGTATATAATCTTACAATTCTTTTATTTTTTGTTTTGGCTATTCGCTTATTATTAAGAAAAGGTTTTGTAATATTTGTAAAGCTTTTACAATAATGCTTTTTTGTTATTAATCATTCGTTCAAAATACTTTATAAAGTGACACGCAAATAGTACTATGCATTCTGGTTTTAGTAGTTTGTTAATGCACTGTTTCGATTAATTCATTTTCATCGTGAATCAATTATTGTGTGAATGCTAATGTAACGCAAACTTCACTTTCGTTCATTCTTGTGCATGTTTCGTTTCTTTCTGTATACATAATTACTTCATACATACTTCATACATAAATACATTTGGGTATCTTTTAAGAGACAGAAATACATAAAGTCTATATAATTAATTTACATTTTGTTTAAACTTGTTTATTACAATATGTATATAACATAATGGCGATTAATAAATGACTATTTAATTAAGATTTTTTAATTCACTCTTAAATTAATAATTGAAAATTTTTAAATTTTAATTAATTTAGAAACGATAGAAATTAATTAAATTTTTCGACAAAGCTTTTTTTGTAATGATATTAAGTATGTTATAATTGATATAAAATAAAGAATTCTAGAAAAAAAGATTTATATTAATATAATATTATTAAAATTTTAACATATATCGATTTGACCCGAATGTACATATGTAAAATTTAATGTTAACATGTAGCTGTATGTTACGGGTAGAACTACCACAGTCGGCTCGTCGTAGTGAAGTTCATGCCCCTGAATCTGTACAAGGAAATGGTTCGTTTATCGACACTCTCATCTCACTGCTGTGCGGCATTCTTTGTAATAATGAACAGTACAATAAGACTGTAGGTAAGACATCATCCAGTATATGTATATACTTTATCCTACAGATCATTATTCCTTATATATGTAAAATAATTTTAAAAATTATTTTAGAATGTCCTTCACAGAAAAAGAATTGCTCGATTACTAAAATATTTTGTTGAAAATATTAAGAATTTTTGAATATAGATCATAATTTTTTTTATTTTTCTTTTGATAATATTATAGTAAGTATATATTTATTTTTAAATTTTTACCAATTTATTTTATAATTATAATTTTTATAACTTGTATTTAGAAATTAATTATTAATAAAATTTTAATAATTTTAATGATAACGACTTGGATCCTGTAAATCTCAAATTTCTTTTTATAATTCATTGAAAATCATTCAATTATTTAAAATATTCATGTGCCATCATAAATTTCTATTATTTTGATTAATAATTAATAATATGTATATTTATGATGTTTGATGAAAAATTAGATTCCAAAATAGCAGTATAATATATAATTATATTATATCATATATAATATATAATTAATAAAAAGATTAAATCATAAAATTGTAAATGAACAATTGATTTTTATCTTTTAATGAAAATAATATTTTTTAAAGTTACAAATTTAAACATAAATCGACCAATTCTTTTTCTATACATAATTTTAGGAAGCGAGATTTGTTCTTAAATTTTATGTTGTATTATGTTATCTAAAATTTTATGTTATGTTATCTAAAATTTTTTTAAATAAAACTAAAAATTATTAAATATATCAGACTAAGCGAATCATTTTCGAAATGAAATGAAATTTAAAAATAAAGAATCAATAAATTGAACAGATTAAATAGAAAAATTATTATTTATCTTAACAAAATCTGCTTATAATTTGTAGTAAAATATTTAATAATCAATAACAAAACATAAATGCAAAAGCAATTCAAAAGCTTGAAGAACAGATAATTAAGTTTGTGCATGTGTCTTTGTCACGAAAAAGATATTTAACGAGCTTGGAAATAATTTATTAAACTTTTATTTCAGAATGTAAAAATGTAGCTTTATTATAATGCTACTAATTACAGTCTATTGTTATTTATTTATATTGTATTTATATCTGTAATGTTGTCGTCGTTAATTTTATAGCGATAACTCCTTATTATCTTTCTGCTTTATGTACTTTATATTTCATAATTTTATATTAATGAAAATATATAATGTAAAAAGAATAATATGAATTTAACATGATAGTATCATATAATATCACATAAATGAATATCACAAGCGAAAGTGTTTTTTCTATTTCAGAAACAAATAATAAAGGATTCAGTAAGGATGTATGTCGTAGCATGGTAGCTATGCTAGATGTAGATCATTCTGGAAAACTCGGATTTGAAGAATTTAGACAATTATGGACCGATATAAAGAAATGGAGGGTACGTTAATTTTTTATAAAAATAAATCGTAAAAAAATGAAATTTTTGATTAAGAGACATTTAAGATCTTATTTAGAAAATCAAAATTGTTGGAAATTTTACAAAATTTTCTTTAAATAATAATATTAATAATTTGAATATAAAGTGTAACAATTATTATCTACAAGTAGAATGAGAATCTGTTAATGTTTAATTAAACAAATCTATATTTACTATTAAAATAAGTTATTTGAATAAGTTTTTTTTTTTACTTTAAAAATTTATTATTAAATATGAATAATTAAATATTTTAGTTCAAATATTTTAAACTATAATATATAATTTATATTATTTTTACTTTTTAAAACATCAGAAAATTGAAAATTTAAATAAATAAATTAGAATACAATATTTCATTGCACTATCCAATTTTAACTTATAAAATATAACTATAAAATAAATAATTATAATTAAATTATAACATTAGAAACATTAAAAATAATGAATTTCCAGGCTGTGTTTAAATTATATGACAGAGATGAAACGGGACATTTAAGCGCGTTTGAATTGAGACAAGCATTAAATAGCGCGGGTTATCGGCTCAATAATCACATTCTAAATATCTTAGTGCATCGTTACGGAACAAAAGATGGTATGATCACCTTCGATGATTACATAATGTGCGCAGTACGACTTAAAACAATGATAGGTAAATGAATAAACACTAATAAAATATCTAGAATATAATATAGCATAATTATCATGTTTGTTGTTTTCAGATATTTTCAGAGAACGCGATCCAGATTTAACTAATACGGCAACATTCACAATGGAAGAATGGATAGAGAAGACATTATATTCATAATGTAATGCATTTCAAAATTATTGACAAGGAGAGACAAATATTTCCATATTTTAAGAAATTTTTCTAAAATTGATTTAATGTAAAATAAAAATGCAAGAAACATGTTAAATAGATTAAAAAAACATATATTTAGAAAAAATGTTTTATGTAAATTTTACATGTGAATACGTAAAATTCTTATAAATTCTATTATCAAAATTTCATTTAAAAAATATACATAAAAAGGAAAGTATTATATTTAAAATTTTGCTATCTATAATATTTATCCATTATATATATTTTTTTGGTATATATATCTGTAGACAGAACCTGATATTTTGTGCCTTAATATATTTTTATATATTTAAATTTGAATTTTTTTAAATAATAATAATTTATTAGAACACATGTAGAGTAAACTTAATCTATATTTTATATAACGAACTCTACATTAATTATTTTAATATTCCTTAAATTCATTATCATATTCCTCATTGTTACATTTGCAATGATTCAATGCAATGATATTCATTGATTGCATATAAGAAAATAAAATTGTAAAATTTGAAAATATATTTAAATTCTAATCTAAATAAAATTTAAGAATTTTTTTTTTAGAATTATATTTTTATTTTCCCTATATAAATATTGTAAAATCTTTATTATCTAGTTTAATTAAATATATANATTATTTATATATATACATATAAATAATAAACTTGTTAAAAAATTTATACATATAGTATATTGTTAAATTAAATTATATAAAATATTTTAATCTTAATTAAAATTTAATAAGATTAAAATATTCTTTTCTAACCTAAAATATATCAAATGTATAAAATATCTATATAATATATAAATAAATAAAATTAAACACATATATTTATAATATATATATTACACATTATACCTATAATATAAAAATTGGATGACTATGTTAAGATTTATTATTATTATATCAATAAGTTAAATAAATAAAAATAAAAAGACAACAGATAAAACAATCAGATATCGGTGCTGTTTCTTAGCATTTAGAGTTTATGGAATAAGTATAGACAAGGAGAGTTAACAAAAAGACAAAGACAGATAGAATAAAAATATTGAAATCAGCGCCATCTCTAGAGTGCCGTAAATGAAACAAACGTATAAAGGATAGTGAATAATAAGAAAAGGATAGAAATAGAACAAGAATTTTGACTCTCAGCGCCATCTCTTAAATAACAAAAGTAACTTTTTTTACAAAATACTCAAAGGATGGCGCTAATCTTCAATTCTTACCCTACTTTATCCTACTTTTGAATAAATATCTTCAATATTCGAAAGATGGCGTTAATAGTCAATTTTTACTATATTATCTATCTCTATCCTTCATTTATTATTTATTGTCCTTTTTATATATGTTTAATTTGCGGCACTCTGGAGATGGCGTTGATTTCAATATTTTTATCCTATTTCTATCTTTTTTCCATCATTTGTTCACTTTATCCAAAAGCTAGTGCATCGATATTAGTGTCGATATTCAATATACTGATTTATCCATAGGGGCCGCCACGAATACAATTTCTTTTTGTCCATTCCAGTTTCAATAAGACATCTGTCTATATTTTTCTCACGTTTTGTAATTCTTATAAACAAAGTTTTTTCTGGCAATGCATTAAATATTATCTGTATAATTATATCTCTAAATATCTAATTCTAATTATCTATATAATTTTTACTTTGTTACTAATAAAAATGACGTATTTAAATTCGTGGGAAGAATTCGAAAAAGGTGCTGAGAGGTTATATCTTCAAGATCCAATGAAGGTATATTTTATATTAAACTATTATTAACTTATTCAATTTTTTATAAGAATTGTATTTTTTATTATATAATTGTATTTAATTAGTAACATATTGATTAAATATAAATATTAAATTATAATTGTGATATGACAACATGATATCATTTAAATTCTAATTAAATACTACATAATTTTTTGAAGTGAAAAAATAATATTATTTTAAATATATAGAATTTTTATATTTATTAATTTAGGTATAAATAAGTGTTTATTTTATAAAAAATTAATATTTATTTTATAATTAAAATTAATCAATTGTTCAATATTAAATTAAAGATACAATTAATAAAATTTATGGAAATTGATAGTATTTATAAATAGTTTAATAATTATGAAGTTTATAATTTATTGTTTTCTTTCTTTAGGCTCGGTATACAATGAAATATTGCCATAATAAAGGTATTTTATGTCTAAAACTTACAGATAATCGAACGGTAAGCTTTATTCTTATACAACTTACCTTATAATTTTTAAAAATGTATTTAAATAATATATTTATAATTCTTTTTTATAGTGTCTACAATATAAAACGGAAATAGCACAGGACTTGAAGAAAATGGAAAAATTTATAGGAAATTTGATGAGGCATATGGCATCTAAGGAGAGCTAAATAAGGACTAGATAAAATTAGGGACATTTTTAAATCAAGGAATAAAAGTGCTGCGCATTTAATTCATGTTTATGTTGTTCCATTTCATAAGATTCAGTGACTGATGGGATTATAGATATTTAATTTGAATGAGGTATAAAAATTTTCTTAAATATACAATATGTGCATAAATGTCTATTTGTATTTATTTAAAGCTTCATGCTCAATTCGGGCGGTTCCGTTGCCTCCTTGTTAAAGTTCTGAAACAGTACAAAATAAAATGTATCATAGTATATAAGTAACAATTTATTTAAAAATAAATTTCTAAATAAATCATTAAAAAATGTAAAAATGTGATCTTTATTTGAAAAATACCAATACTTTTTAGAAAGTGTAACTATGTCTATATGTTTGTAACAGCAGCATATAGTGCATTAGTTATTAATAAAGCCAAACTTAATTTTAATTCTTTACTAGATATTATTGTAAGAGAGAAGCACAAAGCAATGAAAAGAAGCACTTACGATATAATGGGCTGAAGAACAGCATCCAGAGTAGTATCAACAGGAGGGTAGATTTCTTGATTTGAAGACAGTTCATAGCGTACCTCTCCCCCTAATTGCATTTGCGGCTATACCAAACAAAACTATTTTACTAATTTACTATGCAGAGAATTGTACAATACAATACACTACACGTATTAGCAACAGCATTTTGTTGAATCAATTCTTCTTATTACTCTATAATTAAAAAGAAAGGAATAAAATGCTGTGGCTAGCAGAAGAAGAAATAGCAAACCTTAACCACATATTTTTTATAAAAAGCGCTTAGTGTGTTTAAAAGATCTTTATATAATGATAAGAGCGATTTCAATAAACATAATTTTATCTATAAATTCAAAAGATTATAATAATCTTTTATTCTTTCTTAAAAGCAAAAAGCTTAAACTACTTGAAGCAAAAGTGTTACCCATTATTTTCTGATAACATAAATAATAACATAATGAATTAAAATTACGTATAAAGACTAAAATGTATATAGAAAATAACGAGTTTCACTTGAAACCAAAACTGGTAACCAAAATCAATAAACGAAGAAATAAACGTTGTTATAAACGAGCAAGCAAAAAAATACATACTACCCGAGTAGGCTTAGCGCTGTCGGCAGAGCTTGAGCAGCAACTTGAAAATTCTTGCGGTGTACTTTCCCCGAGCCCACTGTCCACGTTACTTCCTATCAATATTCTGTTGTTACGTGTATAATAAAAGTCCTTCCTCATATTGCACTCGCTCCTATTACCATCGTAGTATTTTATATCAACTTGACTCGGTCTGGTTGGTGGCAAATTATAACTTCCATCGTGACTATGTTGTATCATTCTTCTGTTTCTTTTGCCAACGGATCCGATCGTTCTGAAAGTGATTCCTTGACAATCTTGGGATATCACGGCAAAATTTAAGCACATCCCAGATCGGACACCATTACGACATCGATGCATATGTAATACATTTTAGTTTACCAAATGTTCATAACATGGTTAATACATACTACGAGCCATATTGCATTCCTTATAGCGATACACATTTTTATTCACATTAAAACACTAAATTTTACGTAACAATTTCTTCATTCGTCGATCATTTACATTACGCCAATATATTTTAAAAGTCTACAAATATTTTTTTAGAATGATATTACCGGCTACCTATGAGAAAAAAATGTTTCAGGGATTCGAGTCATCTGGCACAATGAAGATCCGGATCGTTGACAATGATTAATAAACCAGAACTTCAACACTCCCATATACCGATCTCATTTACTTAACAATTAACACGATGCATTATTATACCATACACAAAGTACACAACAAACATTTCAATAGAAAAAAAACACACATGAAAAAATGCTACAATTTTTCTTGCTATAACTTACATTCATGGAACACCAATGTATTTTTCATGGAATAGCGAAAGCATCAGTATAGGTGCCAGCCAGGAAATAAATAAACAGGTGCAACAAGCTGTTAATCTCATCGATTTATTAAAGACCTGCCATGCTTTAAATAAATAATAAGGGGCATGCTTAAAAGTAATTCATTTACATGCTCTCTGAATAAATTAAAAAAAAAAAAAAAAAAAGAAAAGAAAAAAAAAAGAAAAAAAAAAGAAAGAAAAAAAGAAAAAAAAAGACACCACATGCAATGGGAAACATTTCAAACAATGACTACGGATCCCGTCTCATCCTCCAACTGTGGAGGATGACTGTGGATGTTGCAGGCCGTCTTGAGATCATCGTACCTAGGTAGGGACGACGAGTCTGCATCGTCCAATCGAGAATTACTAGATTGTAGAGTACATTGTTGCACGGACGTTTGCGATTGAACCACCGTATATGGTATCTCTCGTCGTTGCTGTTCACTCATTCCAGAAGTATCGACTAGTCCAAACTCCAAGTGTCTGGAAAATCAGCCATTGTTTCATTGTTTTACGTTATGCATTGTGCTACACAATGAAGGAAATTTATTAATTTTGTAGGAACTTCGTTGTGTTATAATTATTATATAAATTGCCTTGCATAAATTATATTCAAATTATTTCATTCACACCAGAAGTAATTAGATTAGTATACTTTACATAGTAATATATAGAGTGTATTTAATATATACACAGGTTTTGTTTAATTTGGAGGAAGAAATATAATACAAAAACTTTGTGCAATTTTTAACATTAATATTTACAGTGATCTTTTTCTAAATTAAATTATATTTATATTTATAAATTATATTATATTATATTTATATTGAGCAGGTAGACAAAAATTCACTTTTCATCATTTGGTTTTCATGCATTTAATAATAATTATATGTTATTATAATAAATCAAAGATTTATACAATATAATGTAATATATCACAAAATGCTTAATATTATACTTACCCCTCCAAATCAAACAATTTTTTCAGATGTCTTTTTATTCAAACCGAACTGACACGAGAATAAAAATTAAATATTTAAAAAAACAATTATTTCAATATTGTATTATAGTTTCATAAAGAAAACGTACTTCCTAAGCTCATCTGGCAGTGGTTGCTTTTGAGAAGGACTCCGGTGTCTACTTCTATGCCTTCTTCTTGGTTCTGTATGACTTACCTATTGAAATATTCATTATTTTACAACAACAAAAAAAAACAACTATATAAAAAATTACAATAAGACAAGAAACAAAAACATCATTAAATTATATCGAATTATATCATAAAAATTATATTATCATCGAACTTACAACAGCCCGTTGAACTCCTTCGCCCTTCCGCTTCTGTGCTTCTCTCCATTGTGGTTCAGAATCTACCAATTCGTGTCTGAAAAGATTCACAGGTGTAGTATAAATTCCGAAATGTTTAATGTACCAATTATAATAAGTAACAAATTAAATTTGAATTCGTTCTGCTTGTGATTTTTCATTGAAAAAATGGAATAATATCATGTAGAAAGATTTCGTTGCTACTTCTCAAGCGCATCGTCATTAAAATAATTATCACCTTTATGCGCTCTATGTACCCTACCGTGAGATTATAATGAGCACGAGGGTTTCTTTCTCGTCTTTACGGTCGACGAACTCGTCCAAAATGTTCTGTCAAGATGTTATTTCATTTTCACATCATCGTATAAGGGATCTTTATTGAGTTCATTAATTAATAATTAGGCTGGCGCGCATATAGATGTAACATACAGCATAGCTTAATTGTTTCAATATACGATAACAAACGTATATTACGAGGCTCATTAATACAATTAAAAAAATATTTTTTTTCTTTTTAATAATTCTTCGACTTTTGTTAACAATGAAATATAAAATATCGGTGTGTAGTTGTTCTATATAAAATGAAACGAGCGAGAAATATATATACCTAGACGAACGAGAGCTTCTGTGCTTTCTGCGGTGTTTACGATGACCTGACCTAGTGTCCGAACCCCGTGAAAGCTCAGATTCACAATCAGAATGACGACTGTGTCTTCGATGGCTATGACTATGACTTCTTCTACGATGACCACCACGACTGTGACTGTCCCCTGAACTTTGACTCTCTACGGAGCTACTCCGTCGCTGGAGTCTGCTCAAGAGCTAAAAATAAAAATTAAGAATATTAAAATTCATACATGTTATTTATACCAATTACAATATAAATAATAAATAATTTATGGAGAAGAGAAATTCTAATGAGATAAAAATCACTGTTAAAATAAACTTACTTGCTTCATTTTAAATTACTCAATGTTTAAAAAGTTATATAATAAGATTTTAAAGAAATAGAATCTTGTAATGAATCACGAACGAACTTGTTATTTAATCTAATCTATCAAAAGGAATCAAAATATGTTCTGAGAAATCATCTAGAAAATTTAAAGAATAATACATAGAGACAAAGATAAAAGTATGAGATAGAGTATCTCTCATCACCTCATCATAATGTAGAACGTTGAACTTGAAAAATAATTTTCTAACTATCTACCTACCCATTTCCCATTTATCTTTTCTACACACATAAAAGACGTATATAACAAAGTGTTAACAAAGAAGAAATGCGTGTAAAGAACGTACTGCCGGTGCCGTTCCCGCGGAGCGGACGGACCGAGGACTAGACGAGGTATAAAGGCCACGAGGTTGGCTTTGAGTCCACGGCGCGCTCCTGGTGCTCCTGGGACTCGAATTATTCACCTGTCTCGCGCTTTGAGTATTACACAAAACATTTCCGCTGATCGGATTGCTGTTCGAATTCGAGTTCACCGTCGCGGGCGTTTCCACAAATGGGCCGACCATCTCTTGGCCCTCGACCACGCGTCGTTGAGCCCTGCGACTGGGTGTCCTCTGGAAGATAGGCGGTGGATTCCGTCTGATCACGGTGTGCTTCTCGGATCCAGACGGCGGGCTGTACGAGCGGAAACGAGAGTAGGGGCTCAATGGTGGCGGACCGGTGGCCATCAATCGAAAGAACGCTTGGTGCTCCAGGCAACACTTCCACAAATGTCTGCATGCACCCTTCGACGGCGTCTCGAAACCGTGTGTCCTCTCCTCGGAGTTCTTTTCACTCACTCTCAGCATGAAGTATCTACCCTGAAAAAAAAGATTGTGGTATTAGTTGTGGTATTAATTGTGGTATTAATTGTTTGATAGGTTTGGATGTTGGATATTAGGGAAGGGAGAAAGTGATTTGTGAATAGCTTGTGCTTCGAATCACGTGTGACTAATTGGGAGATAAATATGTATAATAGAATTTATTTTTCATATAATAGAATAATATAATAATATAGTAATTTGGATGATTGCCTGTTGCTAATCAATTCTTTATTTATATCTATCAAAAATAAATAAAAATTAAAATATTCATGCAACAAAAAAAGAATAAATTAAAATGTTTATACAAATGTTGAGGGATAGTTTAAGTAAATATTTAGAAATATATTCACATTCTGTATTTATTTGGAATAAATTTCTTTACCTTATAATAGATTTTATTGATTCGAGGCCAGTAATAATTTCCCACTTTGGTCTTGTTGCGCAACAAAATTATCCCACTCGGCGTCAAACCCAGAAAATATTCCACGCTATCTTCGCCCTGTGGATAGAGGGATGCGATGTTTTGAGAGATTACAACATCACGTCTCATTAAGAGATCTGTGGCCTTTGTTCGTTCAAACAGGTACTTACCAACACGGGATGCAAATCAACCCCGTACATTTCCAGCCATTTCACTTTGTCCAAATAATTCAGCTCTGCTGCGGATGGTAATTGTCCTCTGAAAGAACGAATTCATTGTTATTTCAAATTACATGATTATTTAACAGTATCGTGTATTCCTTTTTTTGATAAAATTTTGTGATAAAAGAAAGACTTTATCATCAATTTAAATGTAAATTTGATATAAGTTGTATAGTACATAAAACAATAATATTTCAATCAAAATTCTTATAGATTAGATATTTATAAAAAATAATTACATGAGAATTTTAAAGTTTGAATGCAAGTTTGATTTCATCACGTTAAAGTATTGTTAAATATAATTTTGATTGAATTTGTATAAAACAAAATAATTTTTAACACCTACACAAGAGTCTTATGAAGTTCCACTATACGATTTTCCAATTCCGTAGTTTGATTTGCTAAGAATCGAAATTCTGTGACGTATCCTACAGAATGTCGCCTTGGATCATAGTCTCCAAGTTCGGCTGGAATCATGAATAAAAATTCATTAGATCGTATCAAATAAATATTGAAACAGCATCTTTGTAATCGTATCAATCATTAACTTTAACATCTCCATTAATTTCAATTCGATTAATTGAAAATAATTTATCACCAAATAATTCGTATTAAATAGATCTCTAATAATATCTCTTTACAGTTATATAAATCTTAAATTAAACAATCTTTTTATTTACATTTCAATAAATAACAACATCTGAGAATATATATTATTTATTTCGAAAAAACAATACTACTTGTATTCTTCAAACGATAATTGAGAAATAATAAAAGATTAGATTAATAAAATCAATATCAATACGAATAATTGTAACCAAATTTTATAATTATTCAAAACAAAGATATTTCATGATCCTCAATATTTTCAACATTCCTAACCACGTTTATATGTATAATTTAATTTACGTACCAAGCTTATATATAAACGTATATTTCATAAAATCACGCGTAAAGTAAAAGAAAAATATCCTCGGTGTAACTTGTATATCGTGCACGTAACGGATCACAATTATTTAATGCTTCCTCGTTACGTAATTCCATACATTTTCTTCACACAAGCGTACGATTGCATCGGGCACACGGGATGCACACACGTCCACGATTTATTTTCATGGTATCAAGCAAATCATTCAGTAACACGCATTCCATCAGCCGGATGCTCGCACGCATTATCTACGCTAGGAAGAAAACTACGATAGCACTCTCATCCTGTAATCTATGTAAGTACGCACAACTTGTTTCTCCGTCTCTTCTTTTTTTTTTTTTTCGTATTCTTTTTCTTATTCCTTTCCCTTCGTTTCTTGCTTTATTCGATTTAAACGCGTGCAAACGCGTGAATAGGATTTTAAAATGATAAAGGTTGCGGAAAGTTTTCTTCTAGAGAGATATTTTTCTTCGAAGAGTAAAAAGAGAAAAAATGTTTTTTCAATTCATTGGTTGAAATAGAATTTGTGTTAGAAAATATTATTAGGATAAACGATGGATGAATTTTTTATATTTCTTTTATTCTTATGATTTTTATAGTATTCTATTTCTATTATTTTTATCGTACGAATTTTTTTTCAAACATCTTTCGTTTACTTTTGTTTTTTTTTTATTGTATCGAATTTTCTAGATTTCTTTTTTTACTATTTTATCTTGAAGTAATGTCGAGTCAAATTCAAAGTTAAAATTGAATCTGACTTTTTGACAAAAAATATATTTCGCGTGCAAAAATAACACGAAGTATTTAAAAACACAGGTGATAAACACAATAAAAATATATGAATGTTTATTATAAAAATTATTGAATGTTTCATGGCTACAATATTTGAATTGTTGTATGTTGTACGTAGTTACATATTATTAATTGTCGGAGAACATGAGAATAGGAATCCTATTCAAACCACTGTGTAATTAAGCTTGTTTGAAATTTGAGTTAATTCCAGGTCTCTGATTTAGTATTGTCTGCTGTTCTCGTTTCTCTTATCTTTGATGAATCAACTAGTTTGTTGCAACTAATTAAACTGCGTTAAACAATTCTTCTTCTTTTAACGCATGACATCAACTTCATCAACTTCCTTTTAACATTCTATTATTTAAAAAAAAAAATTCCATAAAATAAAGATATTATTATTAATAAATTCCCAATACTTCACTCAATTAAATGAAGACAACGTAACAAGGTTTTCTTTCCGATATTCTCAAATTTGTTCAACTTCGAATTTTCTTATCTACAGCGATCATCAACGATCTATCCCAGAATTTTCATCGTTCGAAAACGAGGATCCTTAAAAGAAGAAGGGAACGCGACGCCTCAGCAATAAAACAAAAAAAAAAAAAAAAAAAAAAAAAATCCTACAAAATCGTGACGACCTCGAACGTCCACGCGACTCTAATCGCATAAATCCAGTTAACATCGAGGAATCTCATCCCTTTGGAATTTCTTCTTCTTTCGTCCACGCGCCCCCCTTCCAAGCCTGTCACCGCCAATTCCCATAGGGTGCAGCGCAGAAATGCCCTCCAGAAATCATCCTAGTCGCTTAATTGAATCGCTGACTTTGATGAATATCGGCTCCGACCGTCGCGCGAGGGGCACTTTATTTTCTCCCTGCCTGTTCCCCCCTCCCCCTCCGTGTTCCAGGCCAACGGAATCCCGCACCTTGTCGTCGATGCCGACTTCTTGCATGCTCGTTCGCTCGTGTAATTACGAGGCCGCCGCTCGTGGACCGCGAAACGTGGACCGGAATCGAGCCGAGTTATCCTATCCAGTTTTGCCTAAATGAAGGGGGGGTTCGATAGACAGAGGGATTATGGCGGAGGAAAATGGGCATGGATATGTATAACTCGGTGGTAACCTCGCTAAGGAAGTTTTGGGACGATGCTTCTTAAATTTCATGGGTTCGAAGAAGACATTTTTCTGCGAGAATTCATGATTTCTAATGGCGGATGAAGATGATCTTTAACGTTGGTCAGCGACATTTTATTAAACCGTTGAAGAGCGTGAATTCGATCGACAAACGAGCGCAGAACTTTTTTTCTTTTCTTCGAATAGTATATAAGGAAGATTATAAAAATGTATTTTTTCTAGTACAATCTCGAATTTTTCATTCGATCCGGCAACGTTTGAAAGTGTGTGTAATTAAGAGACAAGAGGGGGGGAGGAGCAACAGTAAACAGGCTGAACGTACGAAACAATTAAATTTCCAAGCTACGATTCCATTGTTCGTGTGATTCAATGAGCCGTTGTCGAGAGCTTCTTCCTCGTCTTGTTCGTGGAACGAACAATTCGTTTGGGGGAAGGGATAAATTAACTTACGAAATACCGTTCTAAAAATGAATCGAATTCCGAACGAAAGAGAGCTCGAAGAAATACGCGTGGCGAATAATGGGATTCTGCTCTGGCAAGGCACTGAATGAAAAAAAAGGGGAGGAGAAAGAAAAGGAGAGAGAGAGAGAGAGAGAGAGAGAGAGAGAGAGAGAGAGAGAGAGAGAAGGGAGGAGGAGGAACGCCTAAAGGTATTTTCACCGCCGTTGTAATAGCATTGTAAGCTCAAAGCTTCTTGGCTATCTTGTTTGAGATCTCCGTGAAGATGGACAACGATTTTCAACGGTGCAAGCATTATCTCGATTCGTAAAACACGGGACCGGTCTGCTTATTTTCCAGGGTAACTCCAATATTTGCGGAAGCTGAGTGTAAAAGGGTTGGACGATCCATTGCTAGGAAGGAAAACGCGTTACACCAAAGAATGGCGATGTTTTCGAATGAAGAAAGGGAAAGAGAGATAAAAATCGAGTGTACGAGTGACTATCCTCGTTGTTGGCGAGTTGATTAATATTCGTCGTTAAACTGCCCTCCTCGTAAAATTACTTTCCGACGTTGAACAGCCGCGTAATTGCGTATGCTGTATAACGACGAACTTTCGTTTTATTTTTTATCCTCTGTCCCTCTTTCTCTTACTCCTTTGTCTCTTTCTTCTTTCCTCTTCCTCGCGAGAGGAAAAACGTTTCTTTAATTGTTGAACTGAGCTAAAAGAGAAATGCGGAATTTTTAGTATCGTAGTATTCTCGTTTTAAATAGAAGAAATATGTAATGTATGATTTGGCAATAAATTTGAAGGATTATTTCTATAGATTTTGTTATTGTGTAGTTTTCATTGAAAAGATAATTACGTTGAATAACATTTATAAGATGATATGAAACATATATTCATGTTATAAAATATAATATAAAAATTGACGTTCTATCAATAATTTTCTTAAAACGATTTGTAAATTTTCGAGGAATCTCAAATAATAAAAGATAAAATGATTTATATCATTAGGAAGGAAAAATAAAGTTTTCATTTTATGAGATAATAAAAATTTAATCAATGTTATATTATTTAGTAAATTATCTTTTTCAATAAATCAAATTTTAAATAAATTATAGAATTTGAAATAAATGCATAGAAAATTCTAATAACTTTTAACAAAATATATATATATATATACATAATTATAATAAATTAATATCCAATCTTTAAGATATTTTAAGAATCTTTAAGAATTTACTTTGCATTTAATGATAGATAAGCATTTTCTTTGTACTTTAATTGTTATTATTTTTTGAAACATTCTCTTTTTTTTTTTTGTTCTTTCTTATCCTATAGACCGTAAAAGTTAAAACGAATAAACTCGTCTGATGTTAGACATGAATGAAAGTCTCAGGTATTAGGTGCATGAATAAATATTGGGTGTTTGGAATGGTGTAAAGAGATAAAGTAAGTATGTACATAGGATATGTGGTATAGAATACATATTGACTTAGAGCAAACAAGAGCATGATGTGAGAGTGTTCCTTTTAAAAAAATGTAATCTACGTAATCTATCAATCTAAGGATTAGACTTGAATTGACTAGATACGGGCTAAGAACTGACCTGATGAAAAACATAGGAAGAACAGGAAGAATAAAGAATAATGAGTAGAGAGTAAATGACTAAACAACTAATAAAAAAAAAATTATTATAAATAATTACTCGAAGAACTTCTTTCAAGGAAAAAAGAAAATCGCTTTGCATGAATTTCATATTGGAATATAATAAGTTTAAATTCGTACAAAATGGAGTTCTATATCGAAGAAAATTTTGTTTGCTTCTCATCACTCGAAGAGATAACAACACCCATATATATTTCTATTCATCTGTTTCTAAAAATCTACTTTCCCTAACTCTGAACCAATTCAAATCAGGTAAATAAAGATTTTCGATTCGGTGATATCGAGGAAGATTTCATCGAGGCGAGTTTCGAGATGTTCGAAAAAAAAAAAAAAAAAAAAAGGAAAGGATGTCGAAAGTCAAACACGTAAAATTTTGTTGCTCAAGATGTTGCAATTCATCGTCGCACGGTGATCTCATCCGCGGCGGATTGCAGTCGCATTCAGAAAAGTTTATCTCCATTTCGCGAAGCAAAACGCGTGCCGTGTCCCTTTCTCCCCCTCTCTCT